GCTGTTCTCTGAGCCCAGATTACGGATGGAATGGAAGAACGAGGGCTCTTAAGTGTGAGCCATCTCTCCAGCCCCATTCGCACGTCGCTCTTCAGGCCCGTGTCTGTCAGTTACCACACACTTAACTTTTTCTTCTCTTGGAGGCAAACGACCTGGCACCATCAGCAATTGTTCTGAAACACACCAAGACCCATGTGCGCTTTCCTCCGAGTGAGAAAGTCCACACTTTCCTCCGAGTGAGAAAGTCTGACATAAACGGAACTCTCACACTTGTAGTATCTGCAGAGGCTTTGGAGCGCTCTCTAGAAGTGCTTCCTGTTGGCCGCTTGATGCCTGTAGAGAACAGGTCAGCCTGCTCGCCAAACCACTGCAAAGCTCGTCCTGGGATTAGAGAGGGCTCCGTTCACTTTAGGTCACATCCGCTCCGACACAGGCTTCTCTGGGGCAGAGCAGCTCCTCTCCTCTGCCACACAACACATTCTCTCCGGCAACACTCTGGCCTGTAAATCCCGTCTGTACTTCTCAGAGAGGCTGAGATGCAAATGCGCTGTTCTACAGTAGAAGAAAAGGTAAACGGAGCGGTAAAGCCAGCCACGTCGGCTCTGACCCTTAGGCCTCTAACTTTTTTACTTTCTTAAAGCAAATCGGTCATGCATACCGACAATTCTATAGAGCCAGTAGGGAAACCAGAAACCCCTCCCCTCCCTGTCCCAGTCTCTTGCACACTCCAAAGGCAATTCTTTTCTTTTTCCCTTTGTCCATTAAAAGATATGAATATGCTTGTGTGTGTGTGTCTGCCTGTGTTTGTGGACATGAGTGCAAGTGTCTGCAGAGGCCAGAGGTGTCACTCTCCCTGGAGCTGGAGTCACCTGTTGTGAGCGTTGGGGACTCCAACAAGTGCAAGTACCTTCTTAACTGCCAAGCCTAACTACAGCAACAATTATTTTCCATCAAGCTCTTTTCTTCCTTTTTTTTTCTTTCTCCCCCTCCCTCTCACACTTGCTCCCTCCTCCTCCCTCCCTTCCTTTGCTTTGGAGTTAAAATGCAGCTGGGGGAACATGGCATCAACAGGCCGCATGAAGCGCTACTAAACCCTCTTAGGTGCTCTCTCCCAATTAAATTGAGGAGAAAATCCTGAGAAAGAAAAGGCAATGAGAAGGGGGTTGCCATCACAGTCTCTGGTTTGTAGGCAAGCTCGTGGGGGTGGGGAGGGGATATAGAGAGATCCATTAAGGGCCACTGTCTCGTTCCCTTTTCTAGGGTCTAGAGCATGGCTATGGATGCCCACCTTCTAAAGACTTAGGACAGAAACCAGCAGATGTTCTGGGTTTTCTGAATCCAAAGACTTAGCAGTGGGCATGTCGACTAAGTGGGGCCTCTCTTTAGAGTCTGGAACGCTGGACACAAGAGAGGGGAGAGTAAAGGATCCGGGAAGAGTGGCTGTGCCAATGACATGAATGCCCCTCCCCCAGCTGCCTTGTTTCTAGGTCTGGGGGTCTGTGTTTGTGCAGCATCTGAGAACTGTCTACTGGATCCTGTATGAACAGAGGGATCTCAGAATCGTACCCAAAATCTCTTCTGTGGAATAAAATATTTTCTCGAAATGTCATCCTAAGTTTTAAGGCTATTACTTTTCATCTTCCCTGTCACTGCCTTTTATCAGGCTATCAATTTCCTTAGCACAAGACTCTGTAAAAGATTTAATTGATTTATTAACATTTCTCAAAGTTTAGGAACGAATAGCAATATTTTCTTCCCATGTGTTAAGTTGGAAAAGTGAGAATCCCAGAAGCAGTATATCATATTAATATTTAATCTTTAAAAAAGATACAAGACTATATTGATGGTAGGAAGGTAGGCTCACAGCATAGGCAAGAAGGCCAGCTGCGTGGTAGCCAGGGGTTGCTGCTATAGGAATATTCAAGTGACTTTGAGAATGAGAAAGCCATTCTCTTCTTGAGGAGTCAGGGCTCTTGTCTTAGGGTGCTTTTGCTGTGATAAAACACCATGACCAAAAGCAACTGGGGAAGGAAAGGGTGTATTTCGCTCACAGTTCACGTAACAGTTCATCATTAAAAGCAGTGAGGCAGGAGCTGATGCAGAGGCCCTGGAGGGGTGCTGCTTACTGGCTTGCTCCCCACGCCTTGCTCAGCCTGCTTTCTTATAGAACCCAGGACCACCAGCCCAGGGATGGCACCACCCCACAATGGGCTGGGCCCTCCTCATCAATCACTAAATTAGAAAATGCCTTACAGTCAGAACTTATGGAGGCATTTCCTCAGTTGAGGTTCCTTCCTTTCAGATAAGTCCAGCTTGTGTCAAGTTGACATAAAATTAGCTAGCATAGGTCTGGAAAACTTGATGGTCATCAGCACCACCAGGAGGCTTTGGCTTTCAGGTTCTTGCCTCAATAATTCAAAGAATGAAATTCACAGACCACAGAAATTGAGGCTCCCATTGCTGGTGACAGTGGCACTGAGGGATATAACATTTTGGGGAATTAATTTCTCAACATTCACATATAGGACACGAGAATACGTTCCCCTAGAATACAACTGTTGGAGACCATAATTTATACTTCTCCACAATGTGCTGAGTTGGCATAAGGCTTATTTTGACTTATTTTGAAAAACAGCAAATATGGAAAAATATCTGAAAACAGTGAAGTTACCTTTTTGTAAGAGAGATAATCTCTAAAGCAGCAGTTCTCAACCCATAGGTCATGACCTCTTTGGGGACCAAATGACCTTTTCACAGAGGTCACCCAAGACCATCATATTCTTTTGTTCACTAGCATTCATCCACTTTCTCGGGGATTTCTTGTCCAGTAATATAACTATTATTAATAAAAGAAACATTTAACAGATCCACAAACTCTTCAACAAAAAGCACCACGAATTGAAAGTCTAAGACTCCTTGAAACTCTTTGCTCATAGCAGGACACGGCCACTCCACTGGGGAGTTCTACAGGCCGGATTAAATTTGTTTCCCACATTTTTTGCCTTTCTACAAGGCTTGTTCCTAACTTTTGGTTATCTGAGTCTTTTAGATAGTGTCTTGTGGAAGGCCCGGCTGGCCTGGACCTTGTTATGTAGCCCAGGCAGACATGAAACTCTGAGCAATAAACAGTTTAAGATGTCCGCTGCTAACTCTTCTTCAGACTTCAGAACCCAGAACACCTGCTCACCTGTGTGATTTCCCATCTCTTAGTCTTTGGTTCAGGTCACCAACGAACAAATGTATAGTTCACACCGGGGTTAACCTGCAGAAAAGTGACATTTCTGTCTAAAAAAAAATACAGGAGCCAGGCCCAGTGGACCCCTGAAACACTCCCGAGAGGGCAGAGAGTCTCGCCGTGGAAGGAGACCCCCTTCGCACACAGTCCTTCCACCTTTCTCTACATCCGCTGCTCTTCGTGCTCCAGCACCTCCCAAGATGCAGCTCTGAGGCTAACAGGCTGCTGGTCTCCTTACATGCTGGCCTTTGCCTAAACCTAATTCTTCCATATCATCCGCCCCTCAGGCCAGGTATGCTGCTGACCTCACTCTAGTAACACAAGCCCAGCTTTGCTGTAAAACAACCCAAAGGGGCTGACTATGATCTTTCCTTAAACTTTCTCAAGGCCTTAAACAAAACTCCAAAGTGTAAGTGAAATTGTGTTCTTGCTTCTCCGAGAACTGTCAAGATGGAGCTCACGTCTCTGTGGCAGGACCGGAAACGTAGTCCTGCTTCCGGCTGGGTTTCCAGCGCATGCGCCCTAAGCAAACTGTGTCTGCTGTGTGAGTCCCAGGCACCACCTACGTAGAATTGGGTGTGCGGGATTAAAATTAGATACACTGAGGGAAGGGAATGGTTATATAACTTAATCTATTAATCAAAACAGACCTCTTACCACACCCCCATTCCTTAACGCCATTAAAAGCCCCATGCAACAGCCGTGAGCCCCGAAGACCCTCACTCATTTGGCTTGCTATCATGGCTTTGCTTTAATAGTTTCCTTGTTACTTTTGCAAATTTGTGTGCTTATTTTAACTCTTTAAATAACAGCCAAGAAATGTTCAGCCTAGACCCCAACAATGGGTTAAAAAACAAACAAATAAACAAAAACAAAACAAAAAAAGAACACTTTCTCTCTGGTTTTCTTACAGAACTAGGACCATGACTCAGTATTTGCACATTTTAATATAAACCACCCTGTCCTGTGTAGGATAAAACAAGACAGTGCAACTCGATGCTCTTATTGTTGTCTTCTGTGGAACAATCAGCAACAAACCAGAGAGAGGAATTTGCTCTATTCATATTGTAATTAAGCCCAGAAGGTTGAAACACTTGTAGGCTTAATCATAACGAAAAATGCTCACACTGGATCCGAAATCCTGTAGTTAATATTGAGAAGCACTTGGGATACTGACAGTGAATAACCTTCAAATAGGTTTGTTTCATAGGGTGGCAGTTTATCATCGACTCACAAATGTAAACCTATCACAGCGTGGACACGAGTCATGAAATTAAAAGGCAGACTTTGGTTAACAGAAAACTTTGTATCAATGAATTTTATTCAGAGTTTATGAAATATATGCGCCATCAATGTGTAAAAAGGCAGGATAGAGAGCTGGCATCCAGATAGGACATGTCACAGCTGGCATGGGCAGCACCCAACCACTGCCTCTGTCTGCCTGATGCTTATCTGTTTTGTGTCCAGTTTTCTAATGCAGACAAACTTTGATGGCTTGATTTGCTAAATTGGCTCTGGTTAAGTTAATTAGTGTCCAGCTGCCCAGGTAAATGCTAGCTTCTCAACAGGATGGTAACTTACACCATTAACTTTTCAACCTCTGTTCTCTGTGGCATAGATGATCTGTGTTCAGAGTCCAGCAATAAAAATAGAAGCTATCAGAAAAGAAGTCTACAGATCACATGATTATAGACCAAGAGATTTACGAAGCTGCCTCTCTAAGCAAAGCCACACTGATGATCGGAATAAAGGCAGAAACATCAAGATTAATCTGGTAACTTTATTTAATATTTACCATTCAGCAGCAATCAACGTGAACACCTGAACTAACAGAATCTCTTGAAATGCTCTGCTATAAAGCTGCTTCGGAATACACTCACACGAAGTCAACTACTCACTGCCAAAAAAAGGCTTCAAGAGCAAATAACACTGTTTATTCTGTGCCCAAGCACTAGTCAAGAAATCTACTAAATTACACAGAAAAAGGAAATCAAAGAGGCTTTGTTATCTTATGTATGTCATCTTACTTAAAGATTTTACTTCTTTAAAGCAACAGAAACATAAAGCTTCCTACATACATGTGTGTGGGTCTGTATATATATATTTTAGGATGTGATTACAAACACAAAGTGTTATTATCAAATGCAAATGCTAGTTCAAGAAATTTCTAACTGCAAAACCTGCAAGGTACAAAGCTAAAATTCATATGTTCCTTTCCTCAATTATGAATACTTTCACTAAACATAAATATTTTTACATATATTAATTTTCTGACATTCAAAATTGTAAAGTCAATATGGCAGAATTATTGTTAAAAGCACATATGTACAAATATTTTCCATACATAAAGTATTTGGCATAATTATAACAATCATACTGCATCCACAGCTGTCTGCTTTTATTTTTACTTTTTTTTTTTTTTTTACACATAATGGGTATCTCTTATTAAAATTAACCAGTTATGTACAAAAATACTTGAACATTTATTATAGAAAACCTCTATAACCAGCCTCAACAGCATATACCTGCTGAATGGTTTCATTAAGAGAATATAAAAAAGTGGTCACTGCCTTCCAGGTAAGCTAGCAACAAAAACAAATACAACTAAACTAATATGAGCTTCCCAACAAAAGAGGGAAAATATTTAACAGCGTGGTTTAAAACACAGTCTCTACCTATTGTCAATTGAGTGTTATAAACAGTCAGTAAAAGAAAAAAAAAAAGGTAAAAGATACATTACTACCTACAAGGTGCTTTTCACCCTCCTAGAACTGCCACACCAGCGTGTCTATTCTATTTCCATCTAAGATGCTACACTGCTGTATCCATGCTAGAATGGTCCACAAGCCTCCTCCCCCAGCAAAAGGACCACAGACAGAGAAGCTCAGCTCTCCTCATAAGAAGGGAGAGTTGGAGGAATTCTTTATTTTACACACGCAGGCTTTTAATGCCCTCAACTTTTCAAAATCCTTTTACCATTCAATCATGTTAACATATTTTCACTAAGGTTTTTGTCTTCCTTCACACTTATTGATTTAATACTGCCCTGCATTGATTCCCGAATCCTTGTTAATGGGACCCAGTAATTTGTGCCTGTTTAATCCTTGGACATCTGCTCTTCATCAACGACACGTTTTATATAGGAGATCATCAAGTAAGGAAGCACAAAATTCAAGTAAACACTTCTCCTGGGGTCTTTTGTTTAATCTAGCTAATTGGGACTCCGAAAGCAAATTGCACCTTGAAAAGTAATACAGTAGATAGCATGTCGGGCACTTAAAGAATTAGCAACCGAGGCACAAAGCAGAGTTAAGAGTAGACAGCTGTCAGACCTCAAGGAAGGGTTTCTTTTAAAGAACGAAACAACTTCCTGTCTTAATCCTTGCAACCCTTAAGTACCTCATCCAACCGGCTGCTTTAACCTTTAATTCTGAGGGTGTGCGCTCAACATTCTGCTCCAAGGGGAGAGCCAAAGCCTTCATCTTCCTTAAGTCTTAAGAAAGGGCCACTGTGATCAGCTTCCTCAGAGTATCAAGTATTCAGAAAAAAGGTATACAACATTACCACGCATTCTATTGCCTGACAATATTGTACTGGTTTTTAAGACTAAACTACATTAAAAAAAAAAAGTGAACATGAACAGGTACAAAAGGAGTCTCTTCCACAATTTACCACTTTCAAATGAAAAACGTTTTAATGAGACTCAGCCATACTTCATGTGACACCTGGCGTCCTAGATCAGTAACTTTCAACATTGTGCAACATTGTATTAATAAGCAACTTTAATTCCATTCATTTAAGGAAAGGTCTGAGTAAGATATTAAAGTGCCTACACTAACGTCTTCTCGCCAGACTCCGCTTGTAAACGGCAGAGCCCACCGCGGGACCGTGGAAGCGCGGCTCAGAGCTGCGACACCTTGCGGGGCAGCGGCCTGGGCCTGGGGCTGGGCTCGGTCCTCCGGGCCCCGTTCTCCAGGAGGCTGGGCCGCGGGGCGGCGGGCTTGGGCGGCAGGGCGGGCGGCTCGGCGGCCGCGGGGATGGAGAGGCTGTGAGGTAGCGGGACCGGGCGCCGCAGAGTCCGCTCGTACACGCTGTAGGGCGGCGGCGTCTTGCTCTCCCTGCGCGCCGGCTCCTCCCCGCCCAGGCTGGCCGCGGGCGCGGGCAGCTCTCCGGCCTGGGCCTCGAAGCCCGAGGTTTCCGACGTGCTGCAGCGGCTCAGCGAGGAGATCCCGCTGCTGTAGCTGCCCGACAGGACCGGCGAGTTGGAGCTCAGTCCTGGGGAGCTGTACTCCACCGGAGACGGGGTGAAGGACTGCGCTGAGCCCTGCTCCCGCCGGGCGAGAAGAGAGGCAGATGTTAGAGAGGCTCCCGAGGACCCCAGCCCGGTTCCCACGGCTGCCTGCGCCTGCACAGCATGACCGATTGGTTCCTTATCGGATTTACAGGGAAATGTGTGGCCCAGGTGCACAGCGCAGCGACCACGGAGCCCACTGACAGCGGGTGCCACCAGCAAGCCCCAGAGAGGAGGTGTGGACACAGCAAGTGTGCCAATGCCTCTAACCTCCGGGCCTGAGGGAGGACGCATCATCTACACCACCCAGTCTATGGCGCTTTACGGTAGTCGGAGCTGAGTCAAAAAAACAAGTTTAAATGCAAACATTGCCATCTGCAGTCCTGAAAACGGCCCTCGGATAGCTACCAGACCTCCACCCCAGATCACCCAGTTCACCTCACTGCCTGCTAGAAGCGACAAGCTTGAGAGTAATCGGAAAGGGTTTGGAGGCCTCCCATCAGTCCTGACCAGTTGGACAACTTTCCAGTGGAGATTATTTTAAATTTATTTATGGTGTATACAATGTTCTGCCTGCATGTACACGTGCAGGCCAGAAGAGGGCACCAGATCTCATTTTAGATGGTCAGGAGCCACCATGTGGTTGCTTGGACCTCTGGAAGAGCAGCCCGCGCTCCTAACTTCTGAGCCATCTCTCCAGACCCCTGGAGAATTCTTGCACGGAGTCTTCCAGGAGCTCCAGACTCCAGAGCAAGAGCTGCAAACTATCAGTATTTGGACTCTTGCCTGAGACCTGAGCTATCTCATCTGCTGTGTTTTTAAAGAGCCTAATTTAGTTGCTAATTTTTAAAAATTGGGAAATTTCGACATAAAGCCCCAGATTTATGGTATCTCATAAGGCCCTAGACACTGTGCAGCCCACTTGTTCTCATCGTGATGAGCAGAAGCTGAGCGGGGCATGAACACTTGAGCAGGCTACCCGCCCAGTCCTCCACGCGGCACTGCGGCTAGCCTCCGTGGCTCTGCCTGCATCTGAGCCTGATCCCCCATCCCGTGTGCTAAGGACTTGTAAGGGATCCCAGGAGAAGCCATGCATAGGCTCTACTGGGAAATGCTGCCCAACGGACATACTCTCCGGGTAGAGTGCAGCCCTATTAGAACGTTTAACAGAAAATAAAAACCTCCATCAAATTTGCTTAGCCAGTACTTTCTAAACTTACGCGTGATAATAGATATTTCCTCTCTTGCATATCACCTAATGTCTTTAAATTCATGTTCTACAGTATACACATTGCTATCCGAGGTTAACGTTACCAGGGTCTCTGTGTGTGTGCATGTGAGCACACGTGTGCAGGTGCATGTGGAAGCTAGGGGTCAACCTTGGGGGTCACTGCTCAGAAGCCACCCACCATGTCTTTCTAGACTGGGTTTCCCCCTGGCTTGGAGCTGCCTGGCCGGTGAGCACCGCCCAGAACTGGGATGGCAGTGCATACAGCACATCTGGACAGGTAACGCACGCCACCACATCTGCCTTCTCACACCGGTTCAGGGGACTGGACGCGGGTCCTCACACTTTCAAGGCAAGCGCTTTACTGGCTGAGTCACTTCCCTAGCCCCTCGCCTCTCTTTTAAACAGAAATAATGCTGATAGCCACAAATCCCTTCATTTAATAGTACACCATCAAACATGGTGAATTGCGAGATCCAAATTTTCTAATCTTTTTTTTTTTTTTTTTTTTTTTTAAGAGACCTCAACTTCAGTATAAGACAGATACATTGAGGCCCCTGTAAAGGTCAATTCTAATGCATGGGGCCAGGGGGAGTACACCCCAAATTCTATCAGGGAAGATACTGAAGTGCATTCCAATTATAGGAAAGCTTTAAGCTTGGGAGTAGTATGCCCTCTACTGTAGGCTGGGAGTTACAGCACCAAATGTAAAATGCTCTCTCTCTCTCTCTCCCTCTCTCATCTTTCAAGCCCTGTTTATAAAGACAAATTTACATGTTTATAAAGACATGTTTACATGTTTACAAAGACACACTTACATGCATGTTTATAAAGACATGTTTACATGCCTCTGGGCCAGTATGAACACATGTAGGTCTCCTTTAGGACAGTACAGAGCAGCTTGCTCACTGGAGCTATTCTATAGCTACCTGAGCATTTTCCAGCAGGGCTTTCTGCATTCTTTAAGAATTTATCCTCTCTGTTACTTATTTCCGTATTCCTACTCTGAAAAAATGGAATTGCAAAGCCCAGAAGGGAATTCTGTCACAGTGTGTGTGTGTGGGGGGGGGGGCTTTCGAGGGGTTACAGCACAGAGATGTGGAAGGGCAAGGCTGCTTTCCTTTCTCACGGCAGGGTAAGGGCAAGCAACGGCTCCCAAAGCAAACACCATCATGTGGACATTATGATAACAGCTGCGCTGCAGAGTGACAGCAAAGCGAGAAAATGATTTGCACTTCCTGGTGAAATTTCACATCAGGAATTTTGGCAATGAAAACGAAGCCACACTTTTTGAGTTTTTGTTTGTTGTTTGTTTTGCCTTCCTATTTTGGTGTTGTTTCTGTTTCCATCAGCAACTATACTGAGCAGCACAGATGGGGTGGTCGCAGCCTGTCCTGGAGTGCTTTTGGAAACCAATTTGTCTTTTTATCTCAGCTCATGCTGTTTTATCAACACAAAGGACACAGGGTGTGGAAACCCGAGTCAGCCTGGTGCAAAGCCATCCGTCCTTACAACACCCACTCCAAACTCTTGTTTGCTTCTGGGGCTGTGAATCTAACACCAGCCTTCTCCAGCGTGCTCACAAGACTTGTAGCCAGTCCGACTGACTTTGGATAGAGGCTAAATATTACTGTTTATCTTCATGAGGGATTTGTATGTTTAGCGATGTGAAATAGCCTGTATTTATATGACATTTCAAGCACCAGAACTTTGAAGCTTCTAGTTCATTCTTCATAATGTTTGTTTTTTTTTTTTTTTCCATTTCCACCATCATGTATTCTATGACCAAGTATGAGTTTGTAAGGTGAGACATCTTTGGTGCAAAGTATTGAGAGAGAAAGTTGAGTTTCGCTTTTTGTAAATGGGTGAGGTTGGTGGTAACTCCCAAAAGCTTCCAGAAGAACATTTAGTACACCTTGGTTACTGGTGTTTTTCAGTCTAAGTGTACATACATATGTTTAACGTGCTTCTCATCAAAAGGCTAAATTCAAATGTCCCAGAGTTACACTGGGACTGGATGTTTTGTTCAGTAGATTGCTGACTATAATTTGCTAAGTTCTCATTCCCATTATTTGGAGAATTAATCTACTACTAAACAAATAATTGAAAACAACAGTAACAAGCCATGAGGGATGCATTCTTGGATAAAGCCCTCCAAAAGGGAAAGCAGGGCTGTTTTCTTACCCATTCCCCACTTCTTCCTTTCTTTCTTTTTTTTCTTCCTTCCTTCCTTCCTTCCATCCTTCCTTCCTTCCTTTCTCTCTCTTTTTTTGAAGCAGGTTTCTCTGTGTAGCCCTGGCTGTCCTGGCCTAGAACTCACAGATATCTGCCTGCCTCTGCCTCCCTGAGTGCTGGGATCACATGCATGCACCACCATGCCTGGCTATGCCCACCCTAACTTCTTGCTATGTTCTTTGTCTTTGGCTGTGAGAACGGAAGCACTTTTGATGTACTTGGGATGAAATTTTAAGGGAAAAGAAGCAGGGCCAATCTCTGGACCCAGTTTAAGGACAGGCTTGTACCTTCAATGGAGAGCGCCCAGCAGGTGACGGGGATACTGATGTCGTGTGTCTGGCTGGAGAAGCTGCAGATGGAGAGAGAACACGTTAATTGGAAAAATCGAAGAGCTGCAGATGAGACAGTACATAGGATCTCCTCAGCAGGGGAAGAGGACAGACCACATGACGCCTAACTGAACAGACCCCTCCTCATAGAGGACGCTGCCAGCAAGGCGCGGGCCAGTTAGTGAACAGTTACTGGGGCACACAGGATGCTTTCACGAGAATGGCATGACCCCAAACTGCTCCACTCTCCAGGGGCCTTTCTTTTCTTTTTGATCTATCTGTCAGTCTTTTACTGATAAGGCTTCCTAGTCAAAGCTAGCCCTGCACTCCAGCTGTATCTGTGGGTAACAATGAACTCCACGGTCTCCTGTGTGCTGAGGTACATGTTTGTGCTACCATGCTCGGCTCCAACATCCTCCCTCCATCCCTCTGGGCTGGGAGACAGCTGCGGCCATTGGCCTGAGCACTGATGGGAAGATCAAGGCCACACGGGCAGCCTAGAACAAGTCCATAGACATGTGAGGAAGCCTTCCCTTTCAGCCCATCTCCCAACATTCCCAGCCGACAGGAAGCTTGTCCAGGGCAGTGCAGAAGAGGAGCAGCTTCCCACTTCTTCTCTAATGTCTGTGCTTAGGTATGCCCTCAGTCCCTGGGTGGGTGGCCACCGTCATGACAGGTGAGAGAGATGTCTCCTTCTCCTGGGCTTTCAGGCCTGACCGCAGGGGCCCGGCATGTGTGGCAGTGCCGCTCCATGTGTGCTATGGATCAGACCTTTCTCTCTGCAGTGTGACTGCCCAGCATGAAAGCAGCCTGTGGCACAGTCGACAGGATGGGGCAAGCCACACTTCCCAGTTCCACACACAGTGATTCTGTGAGTTTTGTTCCTCTGTGATTACCTGCCACTCTTCCAGCCAGCACGCTGGTTCATAACTCAGAAAAACCCACAGGGAGACTGCGAGGAAGGAAGACAGACTGTTTCACAGCCCCACAACACTGACCACAGATGATGACATCAGGACAGACCATGAAAGCAATCAGCACAGAAGGGATAGTGGCCCCACCAGTCCACTTGGGAGGAAAAGGGTCACCTGGCTGTGCTGAACCCTAAGGCACTCACTACCACACCTAGGGTGGGGCCGCCTCAGCCTTGCATACCAGCAGACATGCCAGCTCCTAATACCAGGGTGAGTTTCATTCCCACATACTGTGAGTGCTGACTAGGAAGAAAACCAGGTGTGTGCAGAGAAAGCAGTCCCAATACGGGCTCGACATCTGCCACCACTGTGGCAGAGGTCACAGCCTCCTGTTGTACTTGACTCAGACTCAGGTAACAGGATGACCCTTGTTCCTAGTGCTTTTGTCTGGGAAGGACTTTCTACATGCCTAACATAGGATCATCAGCATCCTCTTTGTCAAGCTGGAATGGTCCCAGGAGCCCACCTAGTACCAACAATATTTATTCCTTAGTAAGGACTATCCACCTTATTGTCCCTTAAAAATACCTCTCAAGTTTCCGTACACAGACCACAGCCAGGCCTTTAAACTAGAGACTGCCTGCATGAATGTGTATCAGGAAGGAAACAAATGATTTGGCTGAAAAGTCCTCATTCCCACAGCCAGACTGATAGACTAATGCAGGTGACCAATAAAATTAGTTATCCCTCGTTCTGCTTAAACATCTCATGTGCCCTGCAGAAACTACTCAAAGGATGAGAAGCTACAATATAGCAAGGGAAGCAGGGATGCGCACTCTCGGGAAAGCTGTGAAGGAAACAGCACCACATTCTCTGTGGTTCCCAGGTCAGCCGTGACGGTGACGCTCCAGGAGACATCAGTAAGTGCCGACACGATGTGGCTACTGGAAAAGGCTGTCGGTTAAAGCAGGACGTGTCTGAAAACTGCCCCACACGCAGGTCACCAAGCACATGGTGTGTTCAGAAGGAAAACCCCAATGGAAAGTCCCAGAGTCACTCCCACCTCTGTCTGCTCCTCTCTGAGACCCAGGGCTAGGCTGGAAGTTGCCCAATCGTTTTCAGCACCCAGATGCTAACAGGCAGAGGAACCGCACAAACAGTTTTGGTAAAATTCTGGTTCCAGCCTCCTTTCAGGAATCTAATCTTCTGGCTCATAAGACCTGAGGTTGTTCCTTAGGATATGCTTCGTGAGCCATAGTTACAAGAGGTTCAGGCCGCTGTGTCAGCCATCCCACCCCTGGACACAGAGCCCTCAGCCCAGCAGATAACTCAGGATAAGTCACTGTGAGTAGGTTCTTAATTTGGGTCAGATGAAACACTAGAGTCATTGTTGAAGATTACAGAAAGCAGGTGAGTTAGCAGAGACCTGAGCAGGCGAGGCAAAGAGGAAGTGCGAGCAGCCCACAGAGGAAGAAGATGGCATGGTCAGAGCCTCCCTGAGGAGTGTATTAGGAAGGGACTGTTGTCTGACAGTTTGGCAAAGGTGTAGGGAAGCAGAAGAGCACTGGAAGTGAATCGTGTTGCCAGCAAGACTTTTACCTCAGAAACCAGATGCCTACCTTTCTTTGAGGAATTCAGGGCGAGCTGAAATACTTAGTATACTTATTTTATGAAAGTAATTGTTCAAACGCTTCAAATACCCACCAGTCTGTGTGGGCCTTGGAGGGACAGGGGGAGAGATAAGTTTCCCACTGTCCGACATGTTCTTGGCTTCCTTCCCACTGTCCAGGCTCCAGCTGCTAGGGGTGGGATTCACAGCTGGAAGGGAACAACACAGCTAAAAACACAAGATCCAGCTTTGCCTTTCAAATGCTTGTGAAAATTAGGAGAAAGTCAGAATTATCCAGAATGAAAAAAGAAGTCAACTGGATTTCACCTTAATCCCCAAACAAGCTGGAAACATCCAGAACACTAACCCTCTCTCTAATTGGTCACCTAACAGAGCTGACATTTAATTAGTTAACAGCATGTCTCTGTACTTCCCTCAAGCTGTCAAACAGGACTACGGATCTCTATGCCAGAGAGTGGCAACCTGCTGAGAATTACAAATGTGTTTAGATGCTGAAAAACAGATGGAAAATATAGTCATCAGTCTATTTGTAGAAATTTCTGGACAAGTGGCATCTAATGGAAGCAAAGGGCATGGGCACGGTTCCCCTGTGATGCGGAAGTACCAGGGACAGGGCTGAGGGGGCCAGGCCACCTCGCTGACCAGTGCTGTCGGGAAAGAGCTCTTCCCAAATGGAGGGGTGACACCAAGGCCTGAGAAACCAAGTTGGCCTGCTGACACCATTATTCTTATTCTGCTCCCTGAATCAAGATGTAGGAATGTGGAGAGCCCTGCTCGGAAGCAGGGCAGGTTGTTGTGAACACTCCCTGCAGTGAAGCTTCCAATGGTAAATCAGTCTCCCGCCGCCGTCCTGCGCATACTGCCACCCAATGGCCACAGCGAGGACTGCCACATTTTATTCCTCAAAATTACGGCTTTGATTTCACGGGGTAGGGTTATTTTTAGATGTATTTTTTCCTCTATCTCTTTTGTATTTGCTCTGTGGCTTTCTTTAGTAAAGTGGGCAAAAGTAAGCGCACATTCCTAGTTTTTCCCTGTGAAGATCAATGCTTGACTTACAACATTAAAGCTAATGCCATGCTTTAAGATAATTTTGGCTAGGTCCTCACTAATTTTCGTCTCCCGTTGGGAAGTTTTAATGTTAATGTATCAGTGTACCAAGATGGTAATACAGCCTGGTTTTTAATGGCGGCAATTAAAGCGAGCTTTGCTGGGGCACTTCATTAGTGAGCCTTGATTCATTGGCCTGTGAGACTGCTATTCTTGAGGCCTGACCCTGACAGGCAGATGGGTGAGTTCCTGCAAGTCCCCGCACCCACGGCTGAGGAAGCGGCGTTTAATCTGCTCTTGCTCTTCTGTGTGCTGCTACCTGGCTTCTCACCAGCACGCATGCATTTGGCTCTTACTCATGTGTACATGACCCTGAGGAGGGGCACGCTCCACTGTGCACTGGCCTGCAACGCTTGCACGGTGTCTAATTGCACAACGGCCTCTCTGAGTCACCACCAACAAACTGGCTGAATGAGCTCTGTGAGGGGACCATGAATGGGGACTGGGAAATCAAGCTGAGGAGAGCTTCTTTCATCGAGTGAACTAGGGGCCCAATCGGCAGCTTTGCTTCAGGAGGAGCAGGCTTTGCCGGGGCTCACCAACAGGAGCCATTACACAAAAGAGTTCCCCACTTGCTCAGACTCTGCCCTTAGCAGTTTATGGAGAATGGATCATGAAAAAGTGTCTTTCACCAACACCCTAAAGACCACACTTGTCCTGATCATTAAGAGCCCTACCTGCCACATGGCACACGGAGGACTGGAGGGAATGAGGACATGACAAACCCTGACAGGACTGACGAGGGGCTGGGTAATACCTACCTTTCTCAGGTGCAGAGAGGTTGGGATCGCTGCGAGGCAAGGCCCCATCTCCAATGTGATTAAACAGCACCCTCTGGGAAGGGAGAGAAGTCCATGGTTATGACGGGCTGTAAGGGCTGATGCCTTTTAGAGAATGGTATGGTTATCTCCTTATGAAAATTTTTGCTCAAAATATCTTCTATATGGTATAATGAAGCCAGGAACAGATAATTAAACTATATTTAAGGAGAAAGGGGGAACAAGAGCCTTAAGTTTTCTGAAAGAAGCATAGTAAAGGAAAATGTGCTTCATATTAAATATAAATAGTAAATAATTACTCATAATAAACACAGGGAAAGTGAATAGTATTTCTTAGTTAGGTATGGTGTTCTTTACAAGTGTATAGTTCTAGACTGATACTATGACATATGAATAAATATTAGAGGAGAAATATTAGTTAAAACTACTTTATAGACAAAAGTATTGTCTATATCCTATAGTAGGCAAAAAAGGAGCTGCTGAATATTCTACCACTTTTAACCTACAGAAACACTGATTTTACATGGCTCTACCCAATTCATGAAAAGAGTAAGTAGACACCTACAGCATTATATAATATTGCAATTTTGGTGACATATACATGGCTTCAAATTTTACCCAAGGCAAATAACTTGGGAATAATCAAGGAACCCCTCAGAGTTTCCCAAGCCGGCACGTGTTCTCTTAGAGCAGATGAAACAAACTATGAAGTCCCCTTGCAATGCCAGTGACAACGGGAAATAAAATTGGTTAGCTGGTTCAGCCAAACGCACTCAGAAATCATTTCTGCAAGACATCAGTGCTGCGCAGAGGAGGGTTCCTGGGCCTTTCGGGAAGATCACACAATCAGCAAAGATAAACCAATCAAGCCAAATCCCACTCGCTCTCATCCAATTCCAGATGCAGCTACAGACTTCTGCCAGGATGGTGTAGAAAAACAGAGAAATTAGCTGGAGCAGAAATAGTTTTCTCTGCTCTTAAAATTAGTCCCAAATAAACTGTAAAACTCAGGAATACAACATGAGTCTTCAACTTTGTACCCACCCTTCAATGTACACAAGTCACTCCTGGATTGAGCCTGTGGCCCTGAGCTCACCCAGCTTGAGAGGACTCATTCTAAAGTGAGGCTTGAGTGACAGGCCACATTCCCTAGCTCCTACCAGGGGCTTAGAGGCAGCTCCGGGACAGGGCCCCTTTCCTGGTAATTCATAGGAGAAGAATGGCAAAGGCAAAGGGCTTGCTCCTGTTCTCTAAAGGAAATGAATCAGCTGTAGCTATCCTCAACACCTACTGGGAAACAGAGGCTTCTGCTAACTTAGGAGGCTCCTCCCTCCCCAGACCTCTGCTCCATACACATGCAAACACACACACAGATGGTTCATTCATGAGCTCCCCTTGGAATGTTGCTGTGGCAGCATAGAACCAGGCTGAGGTCGGGAGGACCCAGATATTCTCTTGACCCGATATCCCTCTAGAGTACTGGTCCACATACCGAGGGTCGCAACCCTACTGGGAGAAGCATCAGCACCCCTGCTCAAACTGTGGTCCCCGGATCTGTTGAGGGTCACGTCACGTATGCTGCAATTCAGATCTTTGCATTACGATTCATAACAGCAGCAACATTACAGTTATGAAGTAGCAATGAAATAATTTTATGGTTGGGGCCACCTCAACAGGAGGATGTCTATTAAAGGGTCGCAGCATTAGGAAGGCTGAGAACCACTGCCCCCATCAGTGGGCTGACTCTTCTCCCAGCTGGCCTTGACACTGGTTGCTTTTGGCAGCTACTGGGCGCTTCTGCAGAGATTCATAAACAATCCCACACGTTCCCATTTTCTAGCTTCTGATTCACCCACGGGAGTACCTGGGAAGGCTCCACGGGTGTTGGATAAATGGCACTGCATGGTCTATCTCTTGGGGACAGGCAAGAGTTTTCTCTGGAATGTTTGTGTTTGTCAGACAACAAAGGAGAAGCTGGGAAAAGAAGCAGAGACATTATCAGCGAGGCTGCCGCATGGGTCCTGCTCAGAGGCGCGAGGGGCAGCTGCCTGCAGCGTGCACACGGGAAGCCACCGTACCCGGGTCCCGGAGGGGGCTCTGGTCACCACAGTCCCGACCCTGCACTAACCTCTGGCACTGGACGGAGCAGAACTCGTCACATTAGGTGAAGCAGAGTGAGTGGAACTGAGGCTTGAGGTAGATGGGCTGGGCTGGAAAGACAGGGGGCTACTGTCACACACGGCCGGGAGCTTCTGTTCATAACGTCATTTGAAACAAAACACCAACATTTATTTTATTTTTTTTTCAAATTAGCAAAATGAAAAACAAAACCCTAAAGGCCATTTGGAAACAGAGCAAAGCCTCATTAGCTCGGAGCGACAATCAAGCTTGCCTGCAGTAATCAGGCCCCGAGACTCCTCGGCTGCTGTGATTCCAGGAACACACACAGGTTAATTTCAGCCCTGTCCTCTGACTCTGCACCCTGGCCGCCTGCAGTATAAAGAGAAACACTTCTAGCCCTGCGCACACAGACAGAACACGCTCCTTGCTTCACAGCTGTTGACAGGCTGCGCATGCCTGTGCATGGCTGTGCTGTGGTGTGCAATTGCAGGTCGGAGAACCTTCAGAGGACCTAGAGAAGTCAGTCCTCTCCTTTCCTAGGTGGGCCGTCATGCTCGGTGGCAAGTGCATTAGCCGTGAAGCCACCTTGCTGGCCCAGAGGAGCATCTCTAGAAGGCACACAATCTGCCTTCTTCTTCTCTTCAAAACTGTCCAAAGCATGCAACAGGAATCTCACTGTGGCCAGTTCCAAAGGCAGTGATTGGAAACTCAGCTCTATTTTACTATCCTAGGATACAATGTTTTATGAATCCCATGAGCTCTAGAATACCTTTTAAAAACTGTAATTTTCTTCCACTGTTTTAGTTATAGAAGTTTTTCTGATTCAAGTGTACAGATTTCATAATGGGCCTCATGCCTCAAGGGAACACAGAGAGAGCCACTTGGGAGCACTAAGAGGCAGCTAGTGTGTGCAAACGTGCTCCAGGACCCAGAATCCAGGACCCGGGAGGCAGACAGCTGCCAAGGTCAATCCGAAAGCTTGGCCTGGGCAGCTGGCCTGGGCTTTCCTATTGCTCGCTTGTACTTTCTTAAGGCGATGGGCATTTCAGAGAGAAACATCTTTGTGGATTCCAGAGGTCAACAAAGCAGTAGTGATAGCTTCTAAAAGCTTGGTCCTTAGGTCAAGTTCTCAATGAAGGTCTGTTGGCGAGCCCAACAGAGAGGACAGACACTCTTGTGACGCAGATAGACAAGGAACCGACAATGCAGACAAGAAGCTAAGAAGGTACCTGCATGTTGAAGACTTCGTCGGAGCTCTCTGACTGGCCTGTGATGTTGCTTACTTCAGCAGAGGCCTGTGAGGACAGCGAGGACGAGGAGTACCGGTTGACAGCTGGGTAACTCAACGGGCTGTTTCAGGGGAAAGCGGCCGTTAACTCAGTCTTGGAACTGCATTTTATCACATGCCGATACGGCATGAAACCAAAGGGAGAAAGACACGTCCCATTTTGTTGCCTCTTGTTTGCCTCAATATAATTGAATGTTTTGAGTTTGTTTATTTCTCATGCTGTTGCTGTTTTAGCAGTGGCAGATGTCTGCAGCTGCCTCGTGGCTTAATTATTTCATTAAGAAATAGAGACTCTGACAAATTGTACCATAAAGAACGAGAGAACCATTCTGGATCATCTTGCGGGACTGGCAAATTGTAAGGTAATTCAGAATATGACATACCTGCGTCTCGGAATTACCCTGGTGCCATCTGGACTCATGGAAGCCGGGGCTGAGTTTCTACACACACGAGGGCTCCCATTAGGAAAATGGACAGGACTGGCCTGGATACACGCCGGGAACTCCTGAAGAGGAGGTAGAGCACACATTTGATTAGAGCAACTGATCTAGGAGGAGCTTCATGAAGACACCATTAAGTCTTCGCACAGGGGACAGTTACAAATGCCAGCACTGCTAAGTCTTCAGAAGTTGACATTTTGCTGTTGTTGTTTTGCTTTCAAAAAGGGTAAATCCGGCAGAGCAGGAGCCAACGGTACTAGAAGCTCCCCGGCAAATGCTGCAGTGTGGCGGAAGAACCAAAAGATGTCACTATTGGATACTTCATCATAGACACAAAAAGCACGGGCAGCAGTCAGATCGCCCCATCTTCAGCACACACCTGTATCCCGAAGCTTGATTTCATCACGAAGAACTGGTCCACCAGTTTTTTGTGAAGGGGTCTCATGTCTTGAGGTACAAACTTCTCATGCACGGCCAGCCCGAATTCCAGAATCTGTGCCTTGATAACAACAACACAAGGAAAAGCTCACATCAGCGACTACTTCGGAGCTTGCTGGGCACCGCACATTATTGCTGACCTTATACATTGGCGACATTGGGAACAAGGTAGCTCTGCAGGAGAGGGGCAGGGCCAGAGAAGCCCCACACACAGTGAGCAACAAACGGGGATTTGAATTTGGGTCTGCCTGACTCCCCAGACTTGACTTTCCTACTTCACTTTCCCCAAGCTCCTTTCCTGTGCATCTCGTATCTTTAATAACCCTCTCTAGTGGCTCTGTGTCCCTGGCCCCCCTCAGCCCCTTCCTAGGGTGTGCAGAGAGTGGGGCAGAAGCTGTTTCCTGTTTGGAGGGTCAAATAAGTCTTTTTCATGATGGCACCCTCTCTCCAGCATCAGCCTCCCAACCCCACAAGATTCTCAAAAATTTCTATGGGGAAAAAAAAAAAAAAAACCAAAATAAAATAACAACAGCAACAGAACCTATGTAGGAACTTTGTAGTAGTTGTGCTTTGGTTTTCTGTTAAAATACTATTCATGTTTACTCACTGTAATATAACAAGTGAGAGGAGATGCTCAGTGATGCTCAAAGCGTTTCTATGACGCCGACCACGGCCAACATCTTTGTGCGATCCTGCGTCTGTATCCCAGCTAGTCACGCTGGGAACTCATCTCGCTCTAGTTTTCTTCTTTTGCAGGTCAAAGTCCTTTCCAACCCTGAACTAGTCTTTGCCCTGATCCACAAACTCGTCTCTCCCGCTGTGTGATTTTTTTCATGGATAGTATCTATAAGCATAAATGAGCTATAACCCGCCACAACCCCATTGTCTCTTAGTCTAAAAACATGCTTTATTTATAACTTCATATTATCAGGTTGGAAGTGATGTCTGTCCCATTCTGACATTCATACTCTACTTGCCATGGGGACAAAATTACTTCCGGTTTAACCCAGATTGCCAACTATGCTTCCCAACTCAGGGGTTTGCAAACCCTTTTAAGGCAGCTATCAACAGGGGCAGAACCAGCGACAGAACACTTACTCGTGCCCTCAGTTCTTGATGGCACCAAATAAAAATAAACTCTGTGGCTCTGAAGTGGAAAATGATGAGTATACCTAGTTTGTCCACACAATACGACCTCTAGGCTTTGTCTGCAAGTCAGAACACTGCGGCAGGGCAAAACCTACTGATTGCCTACTCCTTACTATGGTGCTTACGTAACAATCACATTCATTCATGTGCTTAATCAAGATCTTGAGATGGCCTGAGTTTATATGAGCATGAAATTTTGAGTGACAAGTTAGCAATAAGTCTGCAGGATGACTTAGGAAGGGGCATTCAAAGAGACCATATGGAATGGTACTTATAGGGATAACGTGTTAAGTTTGTTCTTGGATCCAAGTGGGAATAAAGAGCAGAACTTAGCCAGCTGGGATACAGTACAGGAGAATCTGACAACTCGATTGCCACCTCAGTTGCGCTGTTCATGCAAATGCCTATAGGGCAGTGTTTGTTGAGGACGCATTGAGCTAAGCAAGCTAGAGTGACTGCTTCTGCTGACCTACCTGCTCAAGCATCAGCTCCCTTAACCGTGAGATCTTCTCCCCATCTTCAGGATGACTTAAAATATAATCTTTGACAAAGAATGCCTAGGAAGAGAAGGGAGAGTCAGACTGCCCTGGAAGAGTTACCATGGGAATGAAAGGCACAGTTAACTTTTTTCCTAAGGCTTGGCATATGTAGAGAAATGGCATGATTATGAAACTTGTTTGGGGACACATGGAGTGATGGCTAACTGTGGGCAGCTGGCCACAGGCAACATTCAGAGAGTCAGAGCTTAGACACTAAGCATCTCTGGTAAAATAAAAAGCAGACCCAAGTCAATAAGCTATACTCATTATAATTCTAATATAAGGTGTCTTAAGATTCAATGTGGCCAAGATGGCCTTCCAGCTTACAATAAGAAACAGATGAAAAGCCCACTGAGGGGTCACAAACAAAGACTCTCCCCACAGACCTCTTTGATCAGGCAAATTGTTTTGGCCGACGTTTGCTAATCACTTCTGATTCCTTGCTACACTTATTTTTCCCAGCACAATTACACATACTCCAACGACCTCATCACCAAGACCGAATGCATGGGCCACACAAACGTCTGGGTATACGTGTGTTCTGGTTTACAAAGGACTGCATTTAGACTGGCTGGAGCCACCTGGTCCCTGATTGTGGGCCCGTATTTGCACAAACAGATTTATAAAGCCCAGACATCTCCACTGGGGAGTTCTTGTCCCGCCGTCCTCAGCGCTCACCTCCTGGTACCTGGAGACACCCCCATTCACTGCGGCATCGATGACCCCATTGAGGCACATGGTCAGGGGGTTGATGTTCTGCATCTGCCGTGTCTGACACTGGCTGATCAGCGTCTTTAGCTGCTGATTCTTGTTCTCCAACACCTCGATGGCGTTTTCCAGAGGGCTCATTTCTACCTGAAACACAAAGGAGCGCAGATAGCTAATGACTTCCGTGGTGCTCAAAGCCAAAGGTGCAGAGAGAGAGAGAGAGAGAGAGAGAGAGATAGCAGCTTATATCCACCTTCTCAATCGTGCATAGTGGCTCCCTTCAGTATCTCTTCCGGGAGCAATTCCACAGCACAGAAAGGGATCAGGTGGAAGTCAAGTTACCAGCCCATCAGCAAGATGAAAAAATGGCAGTTAATTATATCAGTTGGTGGAAGTGTGGTCTGGGAAACCAGGAACTGTCCATTCCATAACAGCCCGGCAATAAGCATCCCACGTTTCTGTGTCCTTTTGGGCGGACCCCAAATAATGAGTGTTGTACCCCTCTAGGTATTTTGATGCAAAGCAGCATGGAAAAATACAGAGATCCATTAGAGGATCTCCGGGTGTCAAAGAGCTTTAAGACCCTTTGGAGAGAGGGGACACGTGCCCATGCAGAGAACAACACCAGATGGAGGAGCAGGATGGCACGCAGTGGGAGGTCCAGGAAACAAGATAATCATGCACATTCCAGGATCTATTTCTCGGTACACAGCCAAACAGAACCATAATGACTTACTAGGTTGGTACAGGGGATCTAATTGTGACTGTGATGGAAGCGTTTTCCCAATATATGGCATTGTGCCGTTAATGTCACTGACATTCTCTCTGAAGAGGAGGACTGCAACCTGTTAGCAATGAAGCAGTTCAGGCTTACAGGAAGTAAGAGCTTGTTCTTTCAGTTAGAGAAGCAAATTAGAACAGAAGGCCACTTACACCATCTTAAAGCGAAACTGAAGAATCTCAGACTAGCCCAGCTGTATGAGACTTAAGAACACGTATTTATCAAAGATAATCTAAAGGGAAGGGAAGCCGGAACACATGACAAAACAATTTCAATGTGCATGATTGGCGAAGAACCCATTCACAGAAGGGAAAAGACTTCAAAACCAGAAAGAAAAAAAAAAGAAAAAAGAAAAGAACTCAGAAAAACTGGTCAAAAGACTGAAACAGCAGTTTCAGAGAGGAGTAAATTTAAATGGCTGGTGAATATGGCCTCATCTGTGAGAAAGCATGAAGAATAACATCATAGTGACATACTACGAAATGCCCCCTTGAATGCTAAGTAAGTGTGGCAGTAGCAAAAGAGAGTGGAAATCTGAGCCCCTCAGGCCCTTTGCTGCCGCTAGAAGCTCAAACGGCCTCATTATCTTCGGAAAATAGTTGCAGGAACTATCATCTATCTTCTCATGTAAATTACATACAATGTTATTCACAGCTTTAGCTATCTCATGGTCAGAAAGTCTATTTCTAGGCACACACCTAAAAACAAATGGAGCTGGACATGTATGTATATGTGCAGCTACCATGAACCTTGTTTGTAACTGTTCCCCTAAATCAGTGTGTTTATAAGAAAAGGCGTAATATACTGTGGTCTGTTTACACAGTGGAAGAATATACAGTAATGGGACACATTCTTGTCAGCCTTAGTAAATGGGAAAATATCACAAACAGCAGTGAGGGAATGAAACAAGTCTTAACAGAGTACACAATCAAGCAAAGCTAAGTGGACTGGGTTAGTAGGTGAAAACCAAGCAAGGAAATGCACGCCACAGACGCCAGATTCCTCTGGAGTAGACGCAGGGAAGCGCCTTTGTAACGGGAGGGGCATAAGCGCTACCAGCAGTGATGGACCCTGTAAACAGCGTGTGCTACTACACCTTTGTTTATACGGGCCAAAGCCACAGCATAAAGCAAAGCCTGAGCCTATGTCACTGCAAGTTAGAAAGTAAGCCATCTTCAGAACACAGGACAGAGTGGGGGCCACAGCTCTCAGGCTTCCTCACACTGCAGCCCTTTAGCGCAGTTCCTCAGGATGTGGTGACAAGGAAGATTCTTTTCCTTGATACTTCATAGCCGCAATTTTGCTACTGTTATGAATCATAAAGTAAATATCTGTATTGTCAAATGGTCTTAGCTGATCCCCAAGGGGGTTGTGGCCCACAGGCTGGGAATCACTGTTGGGGCTGTGGATGGGGAAGAGCTGAGGATGAAAGGACGAATAGTCATAGGAGGAAGAACTAAAGATCACTCACTCCACAGCTGCGAACAACGAGCCCTGTTAGACGCACTTAAAGGTGGTTACAAGGAATTTACAGTTTGATTTTACATCAATAAAATAAAAAAGAATCCACCTTCACTTTTACAGACTCTAATACTCTTGATACAATAATTCTGTGAACATCACATAAGAAGATATAATAAACACATGTAAAATACAAGAACTCCAGAGAATATTTCCAATATGTAACTTTAGACAAAGTATAAATAATTCACCATGTTGGAGAGAACTGAACATGGGGAAGGAATGGACTAGTCACAAAAGAACCAAAATGAGTAAATTAACCCGTGAGAACAAATCTTCACCAGCCCTCAGCAAACACAGGTAAGTGATCGCAAGCTGCCATGTTTCCTTGTCAGACCAGAAAGCAAGGAAGGGGTCTGGGAGGACAATGCCGAGCAGCTGGGCTGGGGTCCAGCCACCCCCCTTCCTGAGGATGGGCCTTTGCGGAGAACTGACCTGGAAACAGGTGGCCAGGTCATCTCTCCTGGTTGAAGAAACTTTCCTTCCTTCACGTAAATGGGCTAAGCAGAGCTGCTGTGAGGAACAGATAAAATCTGTGGAGGCCTGCGGTGGGAAGCCAGCAGCGGGACTTCTTAGGAGACAAGCCCAGACTCCAGGACAGTGTCCCAGAGGTTTCCAGCTAACCCTCTGTGGCATGACAGGCAGTGTGTCCCGATTACACTTTAAAGTGCGGGGCCCTGTGAACCCCGTTTATAGCATTCATGTTATTCTAAACTGTTGCCAGTGCTGTGAGACAGAAACAGCTCTGTTGACAAGGAAAAAAGACACACAGTGCAGCCCAATGCAATCATAAAGCACCTGAAAGGAAGTAATAAAATCAAGAGGAATCATTTAATGATGAGAGCCGCCATGGAGTAACACAGAACAAATACACTTCACTCTATGACCTCGTATTATTACTAGTAATAATAGTAAAACCCAATCAGACACAATCCAGCAGCCTGCTTGTTCCTCCCACAGGGTGCTAAGGATTTACCTCCTTTTGAACAGACCATTTTATTTCCTTTCCTATATCTCATAGTAACAAAATGTTTGATGATGGATATTATTATTTCATAGAAATATCACAATGAATAAACAAAGACAGGTGATGAAGATATCTAAACACACTCATCATCTGTGTGTGCGTGTTTACACGCACGCCATGTTGTGCACACGGAGGTCAGAGAACTTGAGGGAGCTGGTTCTTTCCTCCCACTATGTGGGCCCTGGGAATTGAACTCGGGTTTCCAGGCTTAGTGGCAAGCATCTTTACCTACTGAGCTATCTTGCTGGTTCCCAAATATCAATATCCCAACCCCTGAAAGATCAATTGGTCTGGGCAGCGATGGCTGATAACCGATTGTCAATTCTTCTCAATAGCATCACAGGAAAGAGGAGGCAATGGAAGAAGAAGAGAGTGAGAAAGAGGCAGAAAGTAGTCTTGCACAAACAAAACCTTACTAAGCCTTGAGGCTTAGCTACCAACTTACAAGAAATGTAGGCCACAGAGAAACATGTTAAATAACTCCACATGGACCAAGACTTAAGGAAACACTTCAAGGAGAACCACTGTGAGTCTCCAACCAAATTATTAAAACAAAACAACAAAACAATGCAAGGGGAAACATCTAGACTGAAACATGTTGAGCAGACACGGCCGATAACTGAAATTTAGTCAAACAAGGAGTGACCAAGAGATCAAACAGGCTCTTGCTGAGGCATAAGGGAACACTGAACATCTTACACTCACCACATCACTGTCATTCTTTTATACATAATAATTATATGGCTGTTTTAAAATTTATATAACAAGACAGTTATGAATGACACCGAATGGTGTCACATTTGTTACAAAATTATCTGGTGTGAGAAGTGGCCAGAAGTGTAGGTAAAGCAAAACAGGTATGTTTTCTAGCTGCTGAAGATGAGAAATTTGGTTTGTGAGCATTTTCTCCATCTTTGTGTGATGTAACTACGTTTCAAAGGGTCCCTGGCTCTCATGTCCTGGGACTATCAAGCAAGGGGAGATGCAGGAGGCCTCTTACACAACCAGTCCTGGAGGCCAGGGCAGCGATGAGCACTAGATGGCGCTGTTGACAGGGCTCTGGCGAGGCCTGGGCTTCTGGGTGGGGAGATACACATGGCTATCTTTGACAATTCTTTGAGTTCTTTGACAGTTTTATACACATGTAAAGCATACGTTGATGACTACAAACAGGGCCCTTCCTAATCTCCCTACACCCCTATTGTTCCATCCTGCCTATGAGTACCCTCTGCACAGTTTTTGGTTTTATATTGTTCTTTTAAGAGCCACTGTGCTTAACCAGAATCATTCTTGTGGCCACGGGTTTGGAGTCCACTGGGCCTAATGGGCTCCTCGGTGGGAACTCAAATGAGGAATGACCACTCCTTCCCTGGAATCAGTTTCTAGGTCAGCAGGGCGGGGTGGGGATCCATAAACCCACTCGTGACCTGGGGCTGACTGTTGATAGACCCTTACAGGAAGCCAAAGTGCACAAGTACGCTGGCTGGACCCGGCCATGCCAGCGGCCAGCATTCCCTTCTTCCTGTCTTTTTCTCCTCCGACATTTCCTGAGCCCTGGGGGGGGGGGTAGTTTAAATGTCCTGTTTATACTGAGGGCCCAGCTCTAACCGGGAGCCAGCACCTCGCACAGCATGGTGTCTGCGTCACTGTTTATTGCAGTCAGCCTTCTCTGGTTATGGCTGGGAGGAGCATTTACATACGGATATTGAGAAGGCAGCTTGACAACATGCTAGTTTAGCTAAATAGGGTTAGGTTCAGCCTAAAACCTCCTCAGGTATTGTGCGAGTGAGCGCGTGTGCATGTGCGTGCGCGCGCGTGTGTGTGTGTGTGTGTGTGTGTGTGTGTGTGTGTGTGTGTAGGCATCAAATCCACATTGACATTCCAGAGTCAGAACAGCTCTCACTAAGAAACCAAACAGCAACAACCACCCCTCCACTCCTGGTGAGGTGCAGGGAGAGAGGAGCCCTTCTTCACTGCTGGTGACAGCGAGCGGGTGCAGCCACTGTGGAAACAGTGTGAGGCTTTCCTCAGAAAACCCAGAGGCCAACGACTGACCAACCCCCTACGAACACTGCAGCTCACTTCAGAAGCACGTGCTCAAGCTGCTCACTGCTGCCCTGTTCACGGTAACTGAGGAATGGAATCAGCCCTGACGGCCTGATGGTGAGGAGGAAGGTGGTGAGGAGACGGAGCGTGCGGTACACACACACACACACACACACACACACACACACACACACACACACGGTTTGTTTTACTCATCTGCAGAGAAAAGTACGGTCTGCAGGCAAAGGAATGGGAAAAAGGTACACGGAGGCTCAGGAAGACAAAGCTAGCCGTGTCCTCGCTCATCGGTTGAGCCTGGTGTCAGACCTTCAGATTTGTGCGGTTGATCTGCAGTACCCGCAGAAGCAAGTAGGTAAGAAAGGGCCATTGGGGGGGAGGATTCCTTAAGGGGGCAGCCGTAGCAACACACGGTGACAGGGTGACAGAGGGAGACTGTGAGGATGCAGAGTTTCGGCAGGGAGGGGTAGGTAACGGCGACCAGAGGGCAAGGAGGAAGGTGAACCAACACAGACTGTGCGGAAAAGCCATAGGAACTCTTTTTAAGGCAGTTTAGGACAGAGGCTAAGAAGAGTCAGGAAAGCACTGTTCTGTGTAGGGATAGTGCAGCTACTGCAAACCGAGAACCACCAAACAAAACCCTACTGTCAGGTATGGCATGTCTCCCTATGAGTTGTTGGTCAAAGAAGCCCTGGAGGCCTCCAAAACAACTGTGGCCCTCACTATCCTCCTTAGTTGTCCACCAGAATTCGTTGATAAGACCGTTCTGCTAAAGACAGCACACACCTTGTAAGGAGTAGACAAATCAAGTTAGAAAAAGCTGCCTGCTTCTTCCCTGTTGGCCTGTGTTCCTGGTGCTGGCAAGTGTTACATAGGCCGCTGGGGAAAAGGTATCAATGGTCTTCTTCTATGATCAAATGAATTTTGAAGCCAAACTTGTGGATTTTTTTTTTTTTTTTTTTTTTTTGTCTTTCAGATTCTGGCATTGCAGGTAAAAGTTTTCAATTCATTATTCTATATTTATTGAGCACCTACTACATTCTTGAAGCCCTCATATAGCAAGAACCCAGCCAGTAGGCCAACAGCTCCAATGGAGCATGGACCATTCCAGGTAGAGAAACAAGAGAGCCACATGGAGGCGGCTGAGAGTGGGCTGTACACAGGGAATGGACTAGCCCAGCTTGACTTGTTCTGTTGGAACAGAAGATTACAGATTCTAGCAGAGTAGGCCCCTGAGGTTTGAAGGGCCGTGTTCAGTATTTCTCCCTTTATCATTATCAGCATGCCACTTTCCATGAATGGGGTGTGTGTGTTGTTTCCTGGGCTAGAACTGTTGGTGAATCCCCATAGGATTCAATGTTCTGGGCCACACAGATCTGAAGGGGCCCTGTGAGTCATTTGTGAGGGAAGGATGAGTAAGAACACGGCTGTGGGCTGATTTTCACCACTCCGTAGGAAGCATAATGATAAAGACTTTCTGAGAACAGTGTTTGGCAGCCTTGCCGCTTCTATGAAAAGTGATGAAGTATGCCATCCCAGCTTTGGGGACCCCTGACTCAGATTCCACAAAAATACAACTGACATAACTTCATTGGTTGGGTTTCGTTTGCTTAGGGAGCTGTATTAACATTGTGGCATTGTAAGATGGAAAACTCACTCAGCCTTTAGCTTGGAACATGATAAGCTGGTTTTCTGTGCTGGGAGATATTTGTAGGAGGTGCCATTCTGTAGACACTTTGGTGGGAGCTATTCTTCCTTGTTCATTGACAAAGTTAGCTGCTACTTTACTGAGGTATTACTGGCATGATAGGTTTACAATCGATGTAATTTATTTCAAACAGAATATTGGCTCAGTCCAGGGGCTGGGCTCAGGGCCATAATGGATGCGCCAAAGGAGAAAGAAAAGATACTGGGAGGCTGGGATACTATGGCTGTCGGTCTGAAGTGTAGTAGAGACAGGTTTAGGACCAGCCCTGCTGCCTGCAGCTACTCTCTCCCACTCCTCTCCTTTGTGTATAGAAGCTGGTGAGATGGCTGGCGAAGAGCGGATTCTTGAGAGCTGTGGCTATCAGATTCTATAATGCATCCACTGTTGTCACCCAAGGCTCCATCTGGGCTCGGCTCCCCTCACTGTCACTCCCACTGCAGATCACACAGCACAGGCTCCACACAGGACACACTTTACACAAGCTTTAGATGAAGGGGCTTCATACTAGCTTCATGTTGCCAACAAGAAAACCAAGGCTCGGATTGTGCAACAGAGCTGGTTTTGGAATACCCATGTGTCATCACTCTGACATGTGGCTACATGAGAAAATAGGCTGCCCTGTTGGCTTTGGACCACCACATAGTAAGCAATGAAGATCACAGCTCTAGCACAATGAAGAGCACTGGAATGCTGGTGTGACCCCTGAACCCCAACAGGCTTTTGTTTTTACATGCTGCAACCACAACTGCTTTAAAGACCTCTTCTGGCTGCAGGACATCAGCATTCACCTTCAATGCCTTGGGTAGGAGAGAGCAATACCATGAGGGAGCCCAGGAAAGGAGAGGGCACAGCAATGAGTAGTGGGCTCAGCGGGCGGGGAGCGGCCAGTCGGGGTGCGGATGGTGTTGGAAAGGAGCTCCAGCCCTTACCACTTCACGTTTTTCCACTTCGAACCAGCGGGAGATGCCAGGTAAACTCTGCACCAAGTAGAGCGATGTCCTTTCCACCCAGAGGCTCTGCAAAACACAGCACAAAGTCAGTCTCTATGCATATGCCCCTCTCTCCAGACCCCGGGCAGTGACAAGGCTGAGCAGGTGCTGCTTCTTCCTGTGGCCTCTCCCCAGTGTTCACCTGTGAAATGGTCACAGCGAGATGCCAGGGAGGCCACGTTAGAAATGCTGCACACTGCCTACAGTGCCTTTCTACGTGGAGCAAATGAGCACCTGCTCCAGGGAGCAAGGGTCAGATCACAGGCAAGCTGTGTGCAGTCTCCTCTGCCCTTTCTCTAAACTTTGACATTAACTTCTTTCCTCATCAGGGTTTAGCCATCTTCATCTAGAAGAGGTGAGAGTGTGAGCTATTAAGCCAAGGTTAGAGTAACAGTAACAAAAAGGCAGAAAGGACCTTAGGATTACATGGCTCGGACCTTCTATTTTAAGGTGTAGACTCTAAGTTTCAGAAGGACTCCTGATCCTCAACAGCCACATTCTGATTACCAGGAGGGCTGGAACTGATACCCATCCCTGGAGCCTCGTCTCCTCTATATCATCATATGCACAGGGCCTCACTTCGGGAGATGAGCTGAAGTGCCATGACTCACACCTGTGTGCTTCAAGCTGGACTCATTCTGACCAGGAACCTGCTCCTTCAGGACACATGAAACACAGCTGACTTTGGTGTGAGCAATGGTACACGTCAAGGCTTACTTTTATTAACCAGTTTTGGAGTTTATATTTTATCATTGTTAGTGTGTTACCACCAACAACAGGAACTTGACAAAATTCCTGGGATGGCACCATTTCTTCGAACTACAGAGGGGTTAAAAAGTATGTATTTCCACCAGCGAAGAGCTACTGAGATGACTAGGGAGCAGTGCATGCGGTAAGAGCTTGAGGGATTCTGCTGGCAACAGGGAGCCAAGCAGACAAGAGCGCAGAGGGATGGGAGAGATGCTCACAGCCACATAGGATGCAGCTATTCATGGGGTCAGGGTGCAGGGACCGGGCTGGCAGCTTTCTGAGTGGCAGACAAGTGAGAAGGATTTCAGAGTGAAGAGTTCACCTGGAGGGAAGTGGGGGCAGCTGTGCAGGCACAAGGCTTCCCACACAGACTTTTAGCTGCTTGCTCTCGAGAGGGGATGGCAACCAATAGAGAGAGAAGGTGGGTGTTGCTGGAGCCAAGAGGGAGGGTGGGTAGGCGGGCTGTGGAAAGGACAGGCTTGAGATGATGGGGTACAGTTTAAAGTCAGATTCTGATGAAAGAGCAGGCCTGCTCTTTGATCATCTCCCCCTGGCGAGGTAGCCTCACTAGGCCACAGGGAAAGAGGAGCCAGGCAGTCCTGATGAGTCCTGATTGGCTTGGGTCAGACATGAGGGGACTAGGGGAGAACATAGGGGAGGAAGAGAGAGGAAGGGTGGGGCCAGGAGGAGATGAGGGAGGGGGCTACATCTGGGATATAAAGTGAATACATTGTAATTAGTAATAATACTAATAATGATAAATAAATAAAGTCAGATTCTGAAGGCTATGAGCGTGGGGGAAAGGAAGCCTGATTTAGCCATCCTCATCCAATAAAGAAGCTGTGTCACTGATTACTACATTGCTGGCCGGGAAGAAATACAGTACAGCAGAAAAGGAAAAGAAAGGGAGTTGGAAGAGCAGCCCCAGTGCTGAGGCAGAAGGTCCTGGGCACCTGACTCTGAGGCAGCCAACTCTCTGATTCCAGTGTACCCATGACTGAGGCCTGGGAGTCACCGCAAGAAGAAAGAACTGTATCACAACCTAACTAGAGCTCTTGTCGGCTTAGGAAGAGGGAAAGAGAATTAGAGATACGCAGAAAGGACTATAAAATGATTGTGAACCTTTTCTGTGATATCTCCGTGGTGTTTTCCAATGGCCTCTTTCCTGTTCAGTCCATGGGGAGAAGGAAGACCCTGAAAAGAGGCTAGTGGGGCTGGCTGCTGGTGAGGCTGGCTGCTTCCAGTCTAACTTTTGCTCTTTCATCATTTGCGAAGTTTGTGATTAGATCTCTCAAGAGATCCACAGTAAATGCACACCAAATCTTCCACCACCATCCCCTTTTTATTCTGCCCCCTCGGAACTCTGCAAAGCCACCACCTCTTCTTCTTGGCTGGGAGCAGCCCTTTAGTTAACTGCTGGCAGCGCTGAAACCACCCGGCAAGGATGGGTGTCAGCACTTAGGCAAGACTGGCCGTGTGAGGAGATGCTTCCGGCCAAAGGAGGAAGTATTTGTTGTGAGAGGCGCTAAGCCAACAGAGCCACAGGAATTCGCTCATTTCAGTTTTGTTTGGGGCTGAATGCTCGGTCCCTGGGGTCTAGTCTTCCCACATCACTGCTTCCATGGACAGGGGTGGTCAAAGTGTCTGTGGGGCTGTGAGAACCTTGCCCTGCGTGACTAGGAGTGCACTGAGCTATCAACGTGCACTGGCACTATGACGACAGCCAGCTCGGCACAAGCAGAGGCCCAGATCAGCATGTACTCTCTGGTCCTCACCTCAGAAACCTAATCTCAGAAAGACAGAACAGAGCGTCTCCACGCTGCCAACTGAGCCCCTGGCCCCTTCTCAGTTCTCTGTGCCTGCTCCTTCATGTCTCCTTATCTGTACTTCCTTGATGCCAGAACACATATACTACGCCCACAATGGTTCACCTTCAATGGACACCAGGCCTGAGTCCAAACACCACTGTTAAGACTGGAGCTGCCACAGAGAAACTGATTTCAGGACCTATTCTACTCAGATTTGCTGGTCTGGGGCCTACGAGTCTTCTTGCTCGGAAAGTGTTTCCCATCACTTGGATACACTGCCGAGTTGGGGAGTGACAGTCACGTGATCTTGTTCTCAGTTTCCAGCCTGGGAAAGCACAGGAGGAGGCGGCACGATACAGAAGCCACAGCCTACCTTAAATTCATTGTCCTTGTCTTTCGTGCCTTTGTGGAATGGTCTGTCATAGCGGAACTTCCAGATGTGATTCACTTTATAGAAGCTTTTGATGTTGTCTGGAACCCCCTCCCTCTGCAGGACTTCCTGGCTCTCTGGGATGGGGGTCACAGCATATATCTGCAAATCTAGGATTGAAGAGTCAAGGACGGAACCTGACTTGGCAAACAGTAAGGCAGTCTGGGTAGCAATCTAATGTTTCCATTTCAGCTGATGTCACTTTAAAAAACCCCGAAAGCTCTGACTATCATAAGCCTTCGTCCAACCTCAGGCCTTGCTCTAGTCCTGAGTGTGTGACTCTGACAGCACGTATGCTTTGGCACCTCCATGACCTGTGAGTGTACAGATCACTAGTGAGGCTGGGGACAACAGCTGGGGTTAGCTATTCTGAATCACAATGACCTAGATATTATACACAGGACACTTTCATCTTTGGTCTGGTCATGGCTCCTAAAATTTATTCATAATGATATGGAAACTGTCATAAGACTATGAACAGAACACTGATGAGGATTTGCACTTGCCAAGTGTTGCTATGACCTTAGTCTTCTGAACTGTGACATCCATTCTCCAAAACCAGTATAGGTAAGAGAGTGGTTAGTTGTCATTCCCACTTTAAATACTGTTTTGCTTATACAGTTACTTTCTTCCCAGAGGAACAGAGCAAATATTTTTTTCTTAAACAATTTCTCTTTTCTCTTGCCTTTAGGTTTCTGCTTTATGAAAGTATATTCATAGTAGCCACTGGAAGTTTCCCTGCCCTCTTTAAAATCACTGGTGTTCGATGGATTTCGGAAGAACTGATGGGTGATTTACCTTTGTGTCTGAAGCCTACATACTTCCATTTAAGTTGTTTGTGTGTGGATGGGGGTGGGGGAGGCTGTGAGGTATCTGCTATTATTAAGTCAGAGCCCAGAACATCACAGCTGAGCCTCCCAAGGAAGCTGGATCGCCTCTTTTTCTCCTTTCCTCAATCCAGAATTAAAGCATGAGGGGAAGAGGGATAGAGGATGTGCAGTAGAGAATACAATGCCACCACTTCCTTGACCTGAAGCAGTTTCCACAGGAAGTCAGAAGAAAACTTGTTCTACACGAAATCCAGTAGAAAGGAGCTTCAGGAGCAGGGCTGGGTCCGCAGGAGAGTCAACTAAAAGGGAGAAAGTTCCCTGACAGATGTTTAAGACATTTCTTTCCAACCGACACCATGATGATAACTAGCACTAAGCTAAATCCAAGATGGCGTGGTCTAGAAGTGTAAGGGTGTGGCATCTGCAAAGGGAGCCCTGGCTGCAACACTGTGCAGGACGATGCCCTGGAGCTAATGTCAGGACCCTGACCGGTGAGCCCATCAGGATGGATACATTGAGCCTCGGCCTGGAAGATGGTCTCGTCTGGCTGGTTGGCATGCTGCATGGCGATGGCATGGGGGAACTCATTCAGCATTCGCTGTTGGAAGGCCTCCAGTCTTTCGTAGTCGTGCCCTCGACATACAAACTCCTTATTCTGGGGGTGCAACCAAAAAAGGAATTAGGAGGATAGCACAACAGGAAGAAAAAAAAAAAACATGATTGTAGCAATGACTGACCATCTGCTCCACATCACGTCACTGCAACTCCGATAAAATAAATGGGGGCTGTCTCAAAAATATGCCATGAGTTAAACGTTTGGGCCAAGGGCAAAGGCTCACTTGTTACTGATTTCACCAGACCCAACAGCATGCTCTGAATCCCAGGCTCATTTCTCTGCATGGGGTGCAGAGAAGGCCTGATGCTGAGCATCAAGATGAGAACCAAGCAAAATGTCTTCAAATGTCAACAGACCCATGTTGGATATGTTTTTATAAAACTGACATGAAACTCATACACATAAATCTCCAGTTTCTAAGAGAACAAAATAATGTAATAATGAAAGATCCATTTTACTGCGTTTTTATCTGAAAGTCTCCTAGATCAGCTTTATACCTGGCCTAAGAGGGCAGGTGGGCAGCCATTCTAGCCTTTAGAAGGATGGAAGGACCAAAGGTACAGAAACATCCATGCCGTAACCAGCATAGCTCAGCTTGCTGGGGCTAGAAATCTTCTTGGTGGGCCTTACTAAATGTTTGCTTGTTTTCTTTAGCTATGTTATGTTATGTAATGTCATGTAATGTCATGTCATGTCATGTCATGTCATGTCATGTCATGTCATGTCATACTATAGTCTATTTATTCTAGAGGTGAGGACTCCCTCATTCAAGGAAGAATGCTGAAGATTAGGGCCAGAAAATTGGCTCAGTGGGTAAGCGCTCATGCCTGAGGACCTGAGCCCAGTATCTGGGCTCCAGATGGTGGCAACAGAGAACTGACTCCTGCAAGTTGCCCTCTGACCTCCACACATGCCGCATGGCACCTCTCATCCCAGCATGTAACTAAAACAACATAGTTTTATAATGCCAAGAGCCATTTGAGCCGGGCCACAGAGCTGCAAAGATGTGACTGTTTTTAAAATATGTCCCAAAAGCTGGTTAGCTGTGAGGAGCACCCTTTGCTAGCTAAGTGACCACGAAATCACAGCTGTTGGGCCAAGTTGCAGCTGAGAGCCACAGTGGCGAGAACCATTCCCCACCCACCACTCTCTGACCAACTCCCTGTCTTTACCTGTGTCCACCTCCAGAGCCTGAGATTAAAATCACATCTATTTTAAGCAGTGGGGGGGATCGAACTAAGGGCCCGTTTACCAGATAAAGCTACATCCTGCGCATCTGGCCTCAGTGGGTTCTTTAGCGCGCAGCAGGTGTGTGCACTGGTTTTGTTTTTGTTGCTGTGTAGTAATGTGCTGTGTAGATATATTACCTTTGGCCTGTCCACCCATCACCAGATGGTCCTTGGCTGTTTTTCCACTTTTTGGATGATGTGAACAGTGCTGCCATGGACATTCGCACACAGACCTTTATATAAGTGTTTCCAGAGTTCGTTCTTAATAACTGAGAAGCAGATTTGCCCAGTTATAAGGGTTAATACTTTTCATCTATGGGGAAAATAACTACTGAGATTATGTGACTGCGTCAACGTATTAGAATTTTTAAATGTGTCCTGAATCCATCAAACAACAAATGGACATTTTTAATCTTGATATTTGTTTAATTTGGAATTTTAAAAAAGGGAGGGCTACACCTTGGATTTGAAGGCTGCAGTGTTCCTCAGAGACGAGAGGGCAGCCTTTCCCTTTCCTTTTGAAGAAAATGACAATTACATAGAAAGAGCTACTTTTCCAAAGACTAATGATAGACACATCAATTTCTTCTAATTGTCTATTAAACTAAATTTGGTCAATGTGTGGTTTAGGTGCTGGCTAAACTTCCTTTATAACCTGTGCTTCTAAACTACTTCTACCTTTTGAAAACCTTGTCTTTAAAGATTGATGTTTAGAACACGTTAGTGTATGTTGTATATCTGTGGGTGTTGAATTGGTGCTAGGGAGGCCAGAAGAGGGTGCTGGATCCAGTGCAGCGGGTGTTAAGTCAGCTGTGAGCCGCTCGACATGGCTGCCGGGAGCCAAACGGAGTCCTTCTGGAGAAGCAGCCAGTGGAGTTGAGCTGAGCCATCCTTCTAGCCCCGGGTACACTTTAACTACAGTAATTACACGGAGTAGAGAGGATTCAAGGCTGCCTTAGTATACGCCTGCAGCTAAACTCACATTTTAGTTGGGGCTACATGTCTGCCCAGCATGCCTTCAGAACATTTACCACCATGGGCCTCTTCCATAAAAATTTAAGAAGGCGTATCACATGGCTGGTTCAGTACAGAGATAAACACACCAATACTGATGTTTATCAGTGTATGACATATAATTTATAGACTCAAATAGACACTTAAGACACGTAATTTATAGACACTTTTCCACAGTTTCCTAACTGAGTAAATGAACTCTGTTAAGGAGTGTTTTAACACAGGAGGATATTACAGATGGAACTTTATGTGATCATGTGTCCAATGCTCACTCACATATGTAAGTATTATGTGCCAAGCATAAAGAAGAGGGACGAATTAAGTATTTTATATCTATCTCACAATGTCCAGAAATTCCCCTTTACAGGAACAGTTTATACTAGCAGTAAGTTAGATGTTTCTGCTGGATGATATTTACCTTTTTATAAAGTCATCAAAAAGGCCAAACAGTACTTTTTGCATGGCTTCTGGGGTAAGCCATGTTTGACGAGACTGTGACTCCATTAATTCCCAAAGTGTGTAACTCTTATTGCCCTCCTCTGTATTCTCTAATGTTAACCATAGAAACTGCACATGAGCACAACAGTGAGTGCCACAGTTCATAAGGCACATTCAGGAAGAGTGTACTATTAAAGACTAAACATTCCAGATTAACAGCTTCACAAACTAAAAAGGTAAAATCGTCATGATGCCATCTCCTTGTTACTTGTCCTAAAATGTCACTAATACCTTAGTTTGCTTGATTGGAGGATATGAGAAGAAAGGATTAAAGCCAATTAAGTAGTGTGTTACTTACTCTTAAGAAAAATGGAAATTTTTTCCCATAAAATCCAACTCTGAAGAATTCAGGTTCCAGACGCTGCTGGTCCATGATTTTGTCATACAAAGAGGCTTCCATCATCTAGGAAAGTATAGGGGAAGTTCTGTGAAGTCCTTCCCACATTTCATCCAGACCAGTTCAAGAACATGTCCCTATGTACTGGTAAAATACTTTAGTTTATGCAGAACAGAACTTCTGATTCCCTTTTAGTGCTTTCAGGTGAGCATTGATCACAAGCCAACTTTGTAAACACACACTGAGTAAAAACTTCAGACTTTGTAGGCTACCTCGTTTCCCTGACACTTTGCAACTCGCCAGGACTCAGGCTGGAGTTTGCTGACCCTTTAAAGGATCAAGGGTTTTACTACATGTTACTACCAGAGCAGACTACAGCGAGAGTTTTTCCTAAAAACCCCAGTTATGTTATGTGAACATGTTTTTTGTTTTTTTGTCCCAGGTGTGGGATATGCAGCTGCTTCTGACTGTCCATAGCAGCAGACCATTTGCCTTGTGCCTGTTCTGGCAGGGGCATGATTCTGGCAGAGTTTAGTTCTGGGGGACTCTAGAGAGGATATAAAAAGACCAGAGCCCCAAAAGCGGAGGCTTGGCTGTTCCTCCTGCTGCTTCCTGATCCTGCTGGTTTGTCAAGTGGTCAAGAGAAAAGAGGCAAGAAGTTGGAGATACCATGAAGAGACAAGGAATTCAACACCCATAGTCAGCAGGAAGTAGTCTAAAAAGAAATCAAGGCCCCCTCTCCCCTCTGATCTTCTGTCTCTCCTACCTGGTGTTGGGGTGTTGGAATGAACTGGGGTGGTGGATACAGACCCCAAATAAAGTAACATAAACAAGCATGTCTACAGCAGACAATTATAAGCCTATCAACAAAATGTTTATTTCCTCAAGATGTAGAACAAGTAGCAATCAACAGGAATAATTAGAAGCCAAGCCATTCTGGACAATTCTTGCGCTAGGTGTACACACTCACCTACGGCCTGCTTCTTTCTTGCACACAGTTATTCAGGACATGTGGAAGGTACAGCCTTGCATAGGAAGGACCGGGGTAAATCACCAACCCGAGCTAAGGGAGGTGTTGACACCAAGTGCTGTCTGGGCTAATGGCTCTTAAGTGTTTTCTTGACGATGCTCAAACTAGAGAGCAAACAAAGCTTATGGCTTCCCTTTTGTGGTATTATTATCCCTGGGGTTTCCATGAAAGACTAATACTGTACTCGACGGCTTCCCCACTCCCTGTAACAGCACCCCAAAGAGCAGTTGATATGAAGTGTGGTGTTTTGGGTTTATAAAAATCTTAGTGACTATGGCACCCAAGGGCTCTCACTGGTAAACACTGTAACCTCGCTTCTGTTGCAGGGACAGGATGCCAAGTTAAATGGCAATATTTTTATATAAAGCTGTGGGCCCTGCCAGCGTCAGCAAGATGAACTGAAGTAAAAACAAGGTCCCCCCCGGCCCTTTGATTTTCAAACTAGGAGAAATATCAATGATTTGCTGACTACAGCAAAATACTAGGGCAAAAATAGAGGGTCAGTTCCAGCAGGTGAACAGGGGCTTGTGGCTGTGCAAGCTGCCGTGCCATGGTTTATGCACTCATGTGTCCAGTGGCAGCTTCGAAAGTGGAAGGGAATAAATATCATTATCATTTAAGTACTTATCTTAGGAAAAGTTTCTGCAAGCTCTATCAAGAGGGTCACCTCACTGATTTCCTGTATCCCCGCAGAGAAGTTCATCAAAAAGGTAGCGCCCCGGCCTCACAGGCACACCGGTACTTTACCCTCATCTTGCTCAGGCTCCTGTAGTCATAGTAGCTCTCATATTGCTCTGCAATCTTCCGGCACAAGATGATGCCATTCTCCCAACACTGTGGAGACAGCAACGCGAGAGTCAGCCTTCCCTGCATTTATGCACCCCTGCTCGAGGGCCAGGTGCGGTGCCAAGTCCTTATGGCAACCTAGAGTAACAACTATGCCACCTTACACATGGAAACAACATTTGATTAACAGGCAACTTATTAAAAATGTTCATGAGAGGAGAGGAGGGAGGGTGGGAGGGCAGGATCAGGAGGTTGAGGGAAGGGCTACAGCTGGTATACAAAGTGAATAAATTGTAATAAATAAAAATTAAATAATTAAAAAATAAAAGGAAGATAAAGTAAAAAAAGAATGTTCAGAGAGTTGGGAATGACAGCTGCTCATGACACTCATGAGTACCTGGCACAAAAACAGGATTTTCCTGTGTTACATCACACCCTGGAAACAGCTGCAGTTTCACAATGGCCATGTCCATCGGTGTAATGGACTCTCAGTGCAGAGGAGGAAATTAGCACTGACCCCTAAGGCCCTGTCATTCAAGCCGGGCACCCTGGGCTCCTGGCTTGGCCAGCATGCATTTACAAATTGTGAGGACCTTTAGGTTCTGCTTAGGTCAGTGTGTTACTTTCAGAAGAAACTTTTCAATTTAGTCATCTCCCATACTATCAAAGCTTTTTTCTTTAGAAGCCTAGACAGTATTTGTGGCTTTGGGGCCACACAGCCTTTGTCCCAGTTATTAAATTCACCTGTTACTGCATGAAGTCAGTATAGTCATAAGTGAGAATGGCTATGTTCTAATAAGAATCTATGGACACAAACACAGATTTCATGTAGTGTTCACATGCCTCACAGTATTAATAATCAACCATTTAACACATAAAGGCTCTTGATAGCCTATTGGCTATAAGGCTGTGGGCCGTGGTTTACAGCCCTGACCTATAGCACAAATTTCAAGGGATGAGCCAATACATGAGCTTTTGAAGTAGCTTACTGCTGAATCAACTCTGGCGATCAATGGGGTGACAGACGTCACAGCCAGACTGCCCTGGGACCAGCCAGAGAATATACAGAGAGTGAGAGATCTTAGAACACTCAGTCCTAAACAGATGTCTCTACCCAATCCCTCCCCTCAGGGCCCAGGGAGCTCTGCAGAAGAGGAGGCCAAAAAAGTGTAAGGGCCTGAGGAGATGAAGGCCAGTAAGGAAACAAGGCCTTCTAAACACTTCAGGAAAGTCACACATATGAACTCACACAGACTGAGGCAGCATGCACAGGGCCTGCATGGGTCTGCCCCAGATGGGGTCCTAGAGCTGAGAGGAGAGGTGGACACATGCCCCACCCCGAGCCCAGAGACAATCTCCAGTTGATGACCACTTGCAGATGAAACTTTGGTTTTCTCCAAGGGAGTCTCACTGGGGAAGCAAAGTAGTCTGAAGGGTAGGTCATATGCTTAGCAGTAGAGGGCCGTGTATAACATTTTCAGTAAAAGAAAAAAAAGCTTACTGTACAGGGGGGAACACAGACATTATTAGTGCAGGGTCCCACTGTAGTTAGGTAATAATGACGGGGGACACAATGGGCTCCTAGGAGAAGCAATTTACTTGCACCAAAATGTTTAGGCACACCCAACTGTGTTCCATAGAGAAATAGCGGCCCTTTGCTGTACTTAACTCTCTGGTTCACCTTTGCGATTTGGAAGAGATGTCTAAAGCATCCAAGGGTTCAAGTCCATCAGACACTGTGCTCAGACTCACAGTCTTCTAGAAGAGTCCAAGCGCTCGGTGAGGGGCAGGAAGGAAAGGGTACACCAAGCTGCATCGAGTGAGTGCGGGCCCCCCAGCATCCCATGCATTGCTAACTATACAAGGGCTGCAGACTCCTTGATGAACCCAGGCTCTTCAATCTTACCGTGAAAATAAAAGCAGAATGCGAAAGCATGCATCCAAATTTTGGGAGCAGGCAAAGGACGACAGTAGTCTTTAAGAGGACAGTGGCAGAGTGCTTTGGCCTGCGTGTTGTTTCCCCGAAATCCTTAAGTTGAAATCCCAACTCCTCAGGGATGAGGAGGCAGGGTCCCTGGCAATGAGAGGCCTAGGGCCTTTAGAAACAGGCTTTCCGGAGTCAACTACTCTTCCATCTTGTGAACACAGGCAGAGGACAGCGTGCGTGAGGAGTCCTCTGAGGTCTTGATCTTAGCCTTCTCAGGCTCCAGAACAGTGCCAAATAAGCAAATGGATTTCTGTTGTTTATAAGCCATCGTGTGTGTGTGTGTGTGTGTGTGTGTGTGTGTGTGAGAGAGAGAGAGAGAGAGAGAGAGAGAGAGAGAGAATGTTGCAACACATGTGTCGGGGTCAGAGGACATCCTGCAGGAGTCTGTTCTTTTTTTTCTGCCAGGAGAGCCATGGGCATTGTTGGCCTCATGTCCTCAGGCTTGCCAGCAGGTGCCCTTACCAAGTTGCCTCACAGCCTATGTGATCTGGTACAGGAGCTAGAGTAGACTAAAAGAATGTCACTACTTCAAGATCAGTCAGAGGTGATGAAGAGCTTGGGCATGTGGGAATTTCCCAGAGGCCTCATTAAAACATCAGATTCCCCAGGACGTCACTATTTAATCAGAATGTCTAGGGGGCAGGATGGCACAGACACTTTAACAAGCTGGGCGCTTCTAATTGTGCTATAGTGTGAGGAGTGGAGGAAATGAGAGCAAAGACCACACGCTGTCACTGCCACCTACTTTGCCTCTGTCGAAGTTCTGGATGATGGTGAGGTGCAGGTGCTCCTTGCGCTGCCATTCGGTTTGCATGGGGTAGGTCAGGAACTCCCTGAGGGGCCGATGGGACCATTCCAGCAACTCATCATATAACAGGAGGGTGTAGGCAGCCTCTAGACGCCACACAAGAGGACAGGAAGTCAGTCAGCACCCCAACCGGTTCCCTTGCCATTGAGACTGTTTGTCCCAATCTCAGTACGTATTTCTGAATTTCACAGCGTAGTAGGAAAATGTCAGGACGACAAGGAGGAGCAAGCTAACTAATGGTGACTTCTCTTCGTGACAGCATCATTAGAGATCTGGATTGGATCTTTGGGTTTCTATCATCTTCTGTATCTCTCTTCTGCTTTTGTTCTTGCTACAACATTCACATGCGCTGGGCACAATTTACCTGTTCAAGAAGGTCATGTTACAGCCACTTCAAAGGTGGAGTGCGGACATGCCTTTGTTTACAGGGACAACTCACAGGTATATCTCTTGGAGACTAGGAGATTTTCAGAAGGAAGCTAACTAACTAACTACTGACTACTAACTGTGCTGGCCAGTTTTATGTCCACTTGACACTACCTAGACTTACTTTGGAAGAGGAAACCCGACTCAGAAAATGCTCCCACCAGAATGGCCTGTGTGGAAGTTTTGGGGGGCATTTTCTTTTTGTTTTTTTGTGGTTTTTCTTTCTTTTTTTTTTTTTTTAAGACAGGGTTTCTCTGGGTAGCCTTGGCTATCTTGGACTCACTTTGTAGGCCAAGCTGGCCTTGAACTCACAGAGATCCGCCTGCTTCTGACTCCCAGAGTGCTGGGATTACAGGCGTGTGCCACCACACCCAGCCTTGGGAGCATTTTCTTGATTGATAATTTGGTTTGGAAGGGCCCAGCTCACCATATGGCAGTACCACCCTTGGGTGGGTGGTCAGGATGGTATAAGAGAGGAGACTGAGCAAGCCACGGGGAGCAAGCCAGTAAGCAAAAGTCCTTCATAGCTTCAGGTCCAGCCTACGTCAGTTCCTGCCTTGTCTTCCATTGATGATGGACTGTGATGTAAGATTGAGATAAAGTCTTTCCTCACCAAGTTGTTTTTGGTCATTATTATAGCATGAAGAACCTTAACTAAGAAGGTAATGAACTGGCTAATTAAGGAGCCTAGATTTAATTTTGAATAATAAAAGGCTGTTAATTTGAATCTGGAACACACAAAGTGTAGCCATAATTTAGAAAGAGGCAAAAAATCCAGAGAAAGCTGAATGAAAACAAAAGGCTAAACCAAACCAAACACTGTGGGGGAGAGGGATTAGTTGGGGGGGGGGGGAAGGCAAGTGCTACATGCATTATAAGATTAGCCCCTCCTGGCTGAATCCACAACGTCTCAACTCACAGAGACAAACCTGCCTGTGCCTCCTAAGTGCTGGGATTAAAGGTATGAGCCACCATGACCAGCCTCTGGCCCCACAAATTTCAATAAAAACATCAAAAGCACTGTGTTTGTCCTGACTGGATTTACTGCAGAAACAGGTAAAATGATTTTCCATACATACAAGAAGAAATGGCATGTGCATTTAACGTACGATTTGCTATTCTATAGGTGGCTACTTTTCCTGAATAAAATGTATAACCAAATAGGAATAATAATATGAACCAGAACTTACTGTCATAGACGAAGGGCTATAGTAATATTCCTTTGAACACTGTGACAGTCAACTCATTTTCTTCACTGAAGGAAAATGCCTAAGCCTTATGTTACTATTCCATTTAACTACCACACTTCATGTCTCTTCAAAGATGTAGCAGTAACTTTAAACAAAATTATCAACACATGGTAAGTCTTTTCCCTTATTGGACTTAAGGTAAGTATACACCAAGCCCTAAGGTACTAGGCCAAGTTCTATGCTAATACCAAGATTTGGCCTTCTCCAAACAGCAAACAGTAAGGTAAGAAAGGCCTAGAGTTCCCATCACTTTGCGTTTGCCTCTTCTGCAAAAATGACCCAGGAGGCAAAGCCTCTGGCCTTTACCCTCAGCAATGACCCTGGTGAACATAAACAGACATTTTGTAGCAGTCCTATAACCCAGCATGGCTGTCTAATCCTTGTCCTGTGGTATGTCCCCACTGCCCATATGGCCATCTCTCAGTCCCTGTGACCAGCTGCATTCCTGATAAACATCCAACAATGGTTCTCAGCAGCTAAAACGATGCATTTAGGTTTCCAAGGAGGGTGGGGTGTGGCTGTTCACTACTGGGTTGCTACCACCATCTTGACCCATCATTTTGATTCAAGTAAAAAGAACCTAGCCACTGCTGCATTTAGGAAGCCTTTGCAGCTTCAAGGCTTCTAAGCCTTCAGAGTTGAGGCCTTTGAGCTCCTCCACCAGCTGTTGAGAAGCTTTATATTCCCCCCAAAAAAGTAAATAAGTAAATAAATAAATAGATAAAGGTTTCTAGCCTGGCTACTACTTTCCCAGACACACTCATCTTTAGAAGGCCAGGCACAGGTGAGATGCTGACAGATGGCCAGAGGAAGCTGAGAATTGACTGCTGGTGCTATGGCAAATAACTGCTTTAGAGTCCGCCTGGGAAAGTGACAACACACAGCCGAGGAAGGCGTGCACGCTGAGGGCGCAACCACTCACAAACAGGTGTGCACGCTGAGGGCGCAATCGCCTAGTGTACTGGTCAACGGAAAGCATGCACACCTGCAGACATGATACCCCACCAGGCTGATTCTGAAGTTACAAATGTTTCAGTGTGCTGTTCTACGATCCCTTTTCTGTTCTTGGGGACATGGCATGTATGGAAGAGAGATGGATTCCATGGAACAATCTTAAAAAGTTTGAAATTCTAAGCAGAAAGCAACATGGCATGGTCACCTATAGGCCGGCTGATTCTTCTGACAAGTGTTCAGTGAGGAAATCAATGCACAAAAAGAAATAACGCGGAAAAGCAGAGCTGAAGGAGGAATGCAAGGTAACATCTCAGAAGGATGCAAAGAGGTCAAAGCATTCCAACAACTTCACTTTCTTCAAGGACACACACACAAACGGGCACAGGAGAGAGGAAACTGCTAGGGCCAGTGGAGTGACTCAGACGGTAAAGACTCCTAATGGGCAAGCCTCGTGACCTGAGATGGGCAAGAGAGACCTGACTGCCAGCGCTTCCGTGTGACCTCCACACCTGTGTGGCACGCACGCCCATACAGATGCATCATGCACGTACCCATTAATAAACACATTAAGTGAGAAGTGACATGACAAGATCACACATAACTCATGATTTGGGGAGACTGGAACCTTGAGCAAATAAAGAAAAAGCGCCCGCCTCTGACATCTCAAATTTGGACTTTCTTGTGAAAAAACAAAACATATCTATGCAGATGTGGGACAACTGCCTTCAGCTCACTCCCTCAATTCTTAGCTTATCAAGTTTTTAAAGTAAAGCCGTCCACCATACTGCACGTCCTTTTCATGATTCAGGCCTTATCAACATTGAGGGAAAATTTAATTGCTGACTGCACTCATCAGTGATGTGTTTATTTATTTATTCCTAGGTTTTCTTCTAAGAGCTGTGAGAACTTAAAACAAAAAGTCAAAGAACTCATCTTTTCCTGGGAATTACTTGTCTTCCTAAACACATTCACACAACCATATATATGTGTGATTTTGTATATGTATAGTATATAATACATATGTAAAATATAACTAATGAAAAAACAATTTGATAAGTACTTTAAAACAGAGAATATGGGGCTGGAAAGATGGCTTGCTGCTCCTCTGAAGGTCATTTTGGGTTCGAGCATAGATGTAAGGGAGTTCCCAGCTGCCTGGGACTCCACCTTCAGAGAATTTAATACCTTCCCCTGGCTCCTCAAGCACCCGCACATATGTGGCGAGTGTATGCACACGTGTGCACCCCTCCCCCAGATCTTAAAAAATGTAATAACACAAAAGAATGGGGAAAGAGACAGAAAGATCAGCTCAATCCATGGATAAAGTATGGCAGGTTTGGCATTGGTAAGGAAGCTTGAGGGAAAAGAACCCAGGACGGGAGCTACTTTAAGGAGAAAGAATCCACAGACCTCAGGACTCAACCTGAGGAGGTTAGAAAAGAGTGTGGGACCGTATGCAGGTCTCCAGACTATAAACAGAAATGCTACAGTTGTGGGACCAGCAAGAGGCCCTAGAGGCACGTTAAATTCTAGAACTGTTACTGAATGGATTTCTTTACTCAAAGACTGAGTGGTGACCACAGTTCAAGTTCCCTGGAAGAAGAGTGGGGCAAAGCCCTCAATTTGTCATTCTCAAGCTCATGAAAAGGATTGTAGTTAAGATGAACAAGATCTTCCACTCTATCTTCTCTGATAAGCACAGCGAAACACAACAGAATACGTAATACTTAGAGGAGTTTGAAAAGTAATTAAGAACAAAGAGAGCAATTAGGAAAAGCCACACTTGGAAATAATCATAATGTGTTCAGTTGTGTCCTTTTATTTTCTGTGTTTTATCTCTCCCATCTCAGACTTTCTGCAATTGGGATCAGGCAATGGCAGCTCCCAGAAGAGCGTTTCTCTTACAGAGCTGGGAAAGGCTGCGGCAGCACAGAGCTCTTCCTCTCTGTTATCCTCCCCATCTTCCAACCTCAGCTTCACAGCCAGAATCCAAAGAACTGGGAAAGAGCGGGGATCAAGGAGAAGACAGAGCCCAAGAAAGAGCTTCTCATTTGTCTATGAGGCTTTGGGCTGATCTCCAAGGTGCATATCTGCGAAGCAGACCATGATTGACGTAAGCAGCACGCAATGGGCTAGAGCTAACCAACAGTCAGAGACTCCTCACAACCTCTAGACAGTGGTGTGGGAACTGAGGCTTAAATCTAACTGGACTCATTTCCAGAATTAAAAATAACAATTCTGACAGAACTTTGCTGAATCTCGTAACATAATGTTCAAAAGGTCCAGGATGTAATCTAAAATTACTTGGCATTCAAGAAACCAGAAAACTAAATAACCATCCAAGAGAAAAAGCAATTAACAGATGCTAACCCCAAGATGACTCACATTTTAGAATCTATGAAGCAGCTATTGAAACCATGCTCCATGTAGTAACGTTAGCTCCCCTGAACAACTGAAAAGAGGAATTCTTTGCATAGGAAGTGAATCTATGAGAAGGAAAAAAAAAAAGGGGGGGGGGATTTTAGATTGGAATGATACAAAAACAAAGTAAGTATTTCATTGGAAAGGTCCAGGAGCTGAACAGAGATGACAGAAAAGAATCAGTAGTCTTAACATAAAGCAAAGTTAACTATTTGGCCTAAATCACAGACAGAAATACGGTTGAGGGAAAAATGATTGGGTCCCAGGAGTTATGGGTCAAAGAGCAGAGGCCAAATACTCATTCCACTGCAGTCCCGAAAGAAAGTATGTGTATGTAAAGTGTAATATATTTTGAGAGAATGATGCTTACAACCTTTTCAGATTTGGTGAAAGGAAGACATTTATAGATCAGGAGAGCTTGGCAAAACCAAACTTGTTAAGCTTTAAGAAAACCATGCCCATGAAAACCACAATCAAAGCACCGAAGACCTAATACAAATTCTCAAAAGCAAACAGAAAGTGTTCTACAACTGGCCACTAAAAATCTACATACTTCTCACCATAAACAGGGAGGCCAGGAGGAAATGACAACACCTTTGAAGTCTGAAAATGAACCAACTATTCCATGAGAATTCTGACTGCAGCAAACATGGCTTTCAGCAGTGAAGCTGTGCTATGGTTGGGTTCAGGAATGTCTACCAAAGACACTCCCCCCGCCCCGTTTTAAAGCTTGGTCCTGGGTTCGAGAGATATCTCAGGAGTTCAGAGTCCTTGTTGCTCTTCCAGTAGACCCAACTCTCCCGTTGGGTGGCTCACAACCACCTGTAATTCCAGGTTCAACAATTTACTCTCTCCTCTTTCTTTGGAGGGTTTGTGCACATGTATGGCATTCACTCACACAGACCATAAAAAGCCCTTAAAGAAGCAGCTTGGTTCTTACCTCCATGTTATGGAGAGATGGCTGGAAGAGGCAGGGCTTGCTGGAAAGGTTTAGATTATCAGTGTCATGCGGAAAGAGGTCATGAGCTCCTGTTTTTCTCTCTGTCTGCTCCGCACTCTCCCTGCTATCGCTTGCTGCTTCTCCGAGTGCAGACGCAGCGGGCAAACTAGCAATGCATCCACACCTCCAACACCCTGAACCCCAACACACTCTTCTTCTTTACCAGCAGACTATCACGGAAACTATGCTTCAATAACAACAGAAAGCTGACTAGAACAAGAGGGAATAAAGATCTTCTTATATAAAGAAAAATTTGAGAGAACTCTTCACTGTTCAATCACTATGACCATGAAATGCAAAGCCTGGCTCTAGGTGATGGAATTTCTACTGAGGACAGATTCAACACACATACCACAAGTAAACGCAGAGCAGGGCAGCTATAAAGATCCCATGCTGAAATGAAGACAGCAAAACACTAGGTGCAAGCACACTGTAAAGTGTTAGGTATGCCCTTTATAATCCCAAGGGCAATCTCTGAAAAGTCGTGCAAAGACAGAGTAAAATGCATGGTACTGAGAAACATACATATGACTAAAATGCATTTTGATTTTGGAAAAGAAGCACCCGAATCTTCATCCCTAACTGTGAAAAGCAGAGGAGCCACATAGCACCCGTCTGTAGCTAGCTCGCTTTCCCCCACCCCCATCTGAGCCCCACACGAGGTACCTGTGAAGTTCTGTGCCTTGAGGTGCAGGTCGTAGAGCTTGTGGATGTAGCGAATGTACATCTCCTCCTTGTTCAGCTCGGTCTTATAGAAGTTCTGTGGAGAAAAGCACAGGCCTGGGTGTTTCCTCAGTACCAAGGCCTACAGATATTTCCTTTGACTTGTTAAAGCTCTGTGTCTTCAAGGTCAAGAGAACTGACACACTTTTTTTTCCTCTTATCTTTTTCATAATAAATCGAGGGGACTAAATGTCAGCAGCAGATTTTTCAGTCCAACACTGGGTTATACATCTGGCAGTTAGTGGATAAGATGGAGATTCCTGGGCTATAATCAAAGATTCAATTTTTTTCTTTCACTCTCTTTTTCATTTCTTTTTCTTTTAAGGCAGGGTTTTGTATGTAGCCCACACTTGCCTTGAAGTGATAGCCTGGTCTTCCTGCCTTAGATTCTACATGCTGGAATTGGCCCTGTGCCCAGATGTTCCCTTGTTACTTTCCATTATTTGTTCTCAGTTTAGCTGTCAACTGGGCAACCAGTCTATTTAATTACGGTATTAAAATCAAATTACCTGCACATTCAATACGCTGCCCAGCACCAGGGATGCATTCTTTAACTTCACTTAAACTTTTTTTTTTCTAAAGAAAGAACTCTCTAGGACATAAAGTAAGGATGTGTGAACAGAAGAGTTCTCTTGCCAGGCATGGTGGCACCTGCCTTTAATCCCCACTGACAGCAGAGGCAGGCAGATCTATGAGTTTGAGGCCAGCCAGCTCTACATAATGAGTTCCTGATCACCCAGGGCTATACAGAGAAACCTTGTTTCAAAAAAGAAAACCGTGTACTGGAAAGAGTGACAGGTTCCTGAAACAGAACACACCAGGAGCTCTAGAGTTTCTATCACTGATGAGCCAGTCAGGAACTTAACAATCAGCTCTCAAAGGCACTGTCAGCCCATTATCTGACTGGTGTCCATTCTTGGAACCAAGGGTTCTTTCCTCTATGTGGACACTGAAGGTGAGTTGAACATATCTTATTCCCAATCTATACCATTGGCTCTCTCCTTGCCTTTCATTTCCTGTAGATCTTGGCATTCTTTAAAAAGCCAAATGAACAATGCTACTCAAACCTCTCTCATTATGTCAAAATCATTTTAATTAGCAAGACTTGTATCATAAACACAATCTAACCACCCCCCAGCAGGTCTCCCATTATTAAAGGAGTATTTGTTCTAATAGTGTTCTGGTAAGAAGCTCCGTTCTTTTTCAGAACAAAAACAAGCAATTGCTCTGTCTCGCTCTGTACATGAATATTCCAGAAAAAAACCCCAGCATCTCCCAGCCAGATGACAATCTCTCTCACATGTGTCTGCTCAAAACCGTAACATAGAGAATAAAATAATAATTACAGTTCCTCCCGTTAGTCATGTCAAATATTACACACTGTCACCAGCTGCACACTGGAGTTACGCTCAGACTGCATACTGGCAGAGGCCTGAGCAGGCCCTGCTGCCGGCCTCATAGGAAGGAGAGGAGAGCCATATCACCACTAGAAAACATCAGAAACTTTCAATATGGAGAGCAGCTTCACAGTGATAAATCTGGGCTTTTAATATGGCTTCTTATGCTGGCTTGAAATCGGAACAGCTTTCACAGTGTTCACATTCTCTTTGTCACAGTCTGTAGCTATCTCACTTAATTACAAACAGGGTCACTGACTTACAAGGTTTCTGTCATATTCCTATTGGAGACAATAAACAACACAGGGCAAAGTGTTCATTCTTCTGCCAAAGGAAAGGGCCTCTTCTGACAGAGCAGTGGAAGAGATGAGGCCAGGGGCTACATTAACGAATTCACACCCAAGGAGAAGGCACTTGGGAAGGCGGGGACAGAAAGCCTTCCTTAGGAAACAAGTACACATTTTGCTTTGAGGTTAGTTATGAGCCTTTGTGCCTGGGCTGAGGATTCACACAGGAGCTAACGGAGCATGTGGCATGCATGCAAGGACATGGAAAAGGCTGAGTTCCCTGACTGGAGTGGGAGAGAGACAAAAGGGAGTGAGAAATGGGAGGCTGAAGAGAGGGACAGACGGTGTGAAGGTAGGGAAGAGCCGAGAGAGAGACGTGGCTAGCACGGTGGTGGGCTCATGGCCAGCTCCCTGCTGATTTCACAGAAGAAAATTACTTAAGTACATTACTGGGTAAAGAGGCGCCCTCGGAGCATGCTCCATCTCACAGTTTTTAGGGGCTGGTAATCGAGGTAGAGATGTAACGATTCCTTAAAAATGAGAGGGAGGAGGTGGGTGTGGTAAGGAAAGAGGGTGCCAAGAACTCAGAAGTGAAGAGGAGTATAGCAAAAAAAATTAGGGCAACAGAAAGATTGTGAAGCGAAAGTTCAAAGAGTTGAAAAGGGACTGAGCACAATGATGAAAAAAAAAAAAAAAAAAAACAATGGGCCAAGCGCAGGGCAAAACATTTCAAGGAGAGGCAAAGTGCAGCTGCAAAGGTTTCAGGGAGTCGGGGCGAGAACAAGTATTCAGAACAGACGAAGTCTCATGTGTTCTCAGAAACACAAGAAGAAACCATGACATTCACAGGTTCAGAGCTGAAAGAAGTCATTCCTCTTCAATCCCAAATGAGATGAAGGGGAATTCATCAAAAGCATTAATTTACCATATAGTAGAATTAAAAAAAAAAAAAAAAAAACCTAATGTCCAATGTATGATTACTCTTTTGTGTTGAGATTCCATTCTGTTTAATAATGAGACCGGTGATGTTCCTTGTAAATGTTGGTTGGCCCAGGGTAATCATGGTTTAGACTGTTGTTAACATGTGTCTGTGTGTGTGCGTGTATGCATTGTAATGCAACTCTTTGCAACAGTGCTATTGTGAATTCAATCTGCAAAGAGGTTTAGGTATATTAAACAGAAAACTTTCATAAGTTAGAGAGTTCAGCCATGGTTATTAAAATATATAATAACTTGTGAGGATGAGCAAAGAGATGGGCAGAGAGGAACAGTGGACAGAGAAATAAAGAGACCTCAGTTTGGATATTGAGCTTTTCCTGGGAAGGCCTCTAGACTGAGCTGAGGAAGAAACGCAACGGGGAAGGCAGCACTCCTCAACCATCCATAATGTCAGTGAGGCCTGCTCGCCACTACCAGCTTGGCGCACAGCAGCACTGCGCACAGTAGAGGCTTTCTGCAATGGCCTGAGCTGAGGACTTTCTGGGCCTCATGCAACCTAAAGCTCGCTATCTGTTTTTTTTTTTTTTTTTTTAATATTTTCACATTTTTGCAAGAAACCCCCTGGAAAGCACACACTGAAGGGTGAAAGCCGACAAATTAGTATTTCTGTGAAGAACAACAAAGGTTAGGAGGAGAAACAAAGTCCAGGTCACTAACCAGTAGGCTAACTGTGCAGCCGATCTTCTTGCCGTCAACTTCTCCTATTTTCATGCAGTCCCTAGACACAGAAAGCGAGAGTCACACTCGGAGCTGAATTCTGTGGGGAAAACATAGTTTGTTTTTTGTGTGTGGTGTGGGGGTGGGCGGGGTGTCTGCAGACACTGGAGATGACTGTGTGAATTCAGGGAAAGGCAACTGGGGCCAGAGGTCTCCGAGGGGACTGAGGGCAGAGACTGACGGGCTCCTGAATTGCATGGTAGGACTGTTCCTCTTGATGGGCAGGGGAGAAAGGGTGCCTATCCCTCATCTGAGCTCTAAAAGCAGCTGGTCAGTCTGACCAGAGACAAAAGGGAAGGAGAGGCTTGTCTTTAAAATAAAAGCCTTGCACAGAATGGGACAGCCTGCTGTAAAGGCAAGATAAATGGGAATAAAAAGGAAAAGAAATTATATTTGGAAAAGATAACAGTGCACTCAGGCCTTACAGCACCTTAGGACAAGCCCCTAGGTTCATCCTAAAGTGTTTGGACCACGACAGTTTTTGAGTGGGTGAGTCTAAATACCCAAAGATTTTTCTTTCCTTTTCCTTCTTTCTATTTTTGAGGACAGTCAAGGACTCTGAGAACTCTTTCAACTAAATGAGACTTTGAAGGAGTTATTAAAACAGAGAGCTAAACAAACAAGGAAGCAAACACCAGAGCCAGATGCAAAACTCTCAACAAGCCAGTTTGAAGTCTGGGTGCTGATTAGCAAGTCTTTGACTGATTAACTCGCATGGAATGCTCATTACAGCTCCGAGACTGGAGCTTTTAACTAGAACAGAGCCCATCTGCAGTCTTGGGATGCAGCTTACCTGTAGTCTAACAATCTCTCCATCAGCCGAGTGACAGTGGCGATTAACGAAACGCCACTCTCCCTCCATGTTTCCCGCTCAATTCTCTTTAGTAGACTGGAAAAGAAAGAACCCAGGGCATTTTTCAACATTTATTTTTATCAGTCACCATGACAACCATTTTACTTCCATCAGAACCTTAAATGCCTTAGCAACCACTGCGACATCTCACAAGTAGGACAATTTGCAAACAATGTCTTACCTAGGGTAGGGACCAAACAGTGGAATTCTAATCCAGGAAGCATTGACAAAGCAAATGGATTTTCAGATTATCCAAGTCATAAGATATGAACACATGCACATAATCATGCTTTCAAACACACACAAGCACCTCACAGCTCAAAGACATTTCCCCCTTGCTTCTCTGTTGTGCTGGCTGGTGCCCTGCCACATTCAATAGCAGCGCGGAAGCGGACACGGGAGTCCCTCCAAGTTTACTTCCAAGTAGAGAGCTGGTTTCAGTCCCATAAACATGTTTTCCTACCTCTCGGTGGAACGCATCTTCACCCAAGCAATTTTGCTGCAATGTAACTGCTACAGGAAAATCCTTGTGCAGACGGTATGACGTTTCTCGTTTCCTCCCGTCACTTAGCATTTGCCCACTCGATTCATATTGTACTATCTGTGCCCTCACTCAGCGCGCTCATTCACTCTGTTAATCACAGAGGGTTTTCTGAGTGCTTGTTAGAGCAGATTGATGGTGAGCGCCGAGCGGTGTCTCTCCTCCTACACTGCCCCTAATCCTCAATACCTTGGAGCAGAGGCACTATGTCAACACAACACAGTCATCATGAGGACCTGATCTGCCTCCTCTCCTCTCTGCAAATCATCACCGTGCTGGGGGAAGGCTTCCCGGCTGAACTTTCCCCCATCGATGGGAGAACCTGAGCGTGCTGGTAGCAGAATACTTCCACCCTTCTTATTTCAGTGATCCTCATTTCTGTACAAAATTTTCTCTTGCATCTTGATTTCAAAAAGAGGGAGGGGACGATGTGTGCGTGTGTACATTTCTTATAGCTACAATGTAAGCATGTCATATCTGTACTTAGTTGAAAAAAAAACAGTAAAGGGAAAACTATCTTGGTAAAGGTTTATTTTGTCTGTGGCTATATTCTTTTCCAATTTTCTTTCCTTCCCCACTTCCTCTTCCTGCTGTTGCCATTCTAGTACCCAGTGTTCTGTGTGTTCTCCATGTCTGTTGTCTGTCACATCGTATGTGTTCCTGACTGATTTTAAAATGTTATCTAGATCAAAAGTGGGTTCGTCAGAGAGAGGTGATATATGGAAGGTGTGGGGCTGGCCCTGACTTACTCCAGGGAAGGCCTCTTAGCTGTTTAAATGTGTTTTCATTTCAAAACCTCTAAACAACACCTGTTTAGAGAGTAAGCGACAAACTGGTACCGAACCAAGTTCTCACACTCTGCCAAATCATGCAGGATGCTACAGAAATTCCTCCAAGTGACAGCCCACACCGTACACGCTCAGAGGCTAAAAACCAAGTATCTCAAGTAAGAATTCTAAAAATACAGTCTTCATGTACGACGTTCATTAATTTTCAGCTTCCTGGAACAGTCAGAAAGCAGAGCTCCATCATCCTCTCAGAAGAGGCATGGCTCGCTTTGGTGACACAAGACCAAATGTTAGGACCAAGTGCATGGCCTCATTCATTTGCGGCCTTGGCCAGGGTTATTCTTTCATTTGGGAATCCTCCCACGTTCCAGTTCCTACATGAGCCATACAAACCAAGGAGGCTATCATCACAGGGAACGAGTCTTTCTAGATATCTTGGGTGAGACTGGATATTCTCTCCTGGTCTGAACCATGCTTTAGTGCTGGTGTGGTGTAGTCAGAGACCTCACCTCATACGGTAGGGACAAGTTTCTCACAAGCTTTTCTGGGTTTCACAATAGGACTCTTCCATCAAGTGGAGAGCAGGACAGGATAGAGAACAGCTCAGTGGCATTGCTCACCATGAAGGCAATGGGGCTGGACAGCGCTGGGCTAATTTTCACTCTGTCTCAGGATAATGCTGAGAACATTGCTCTGACATATACACTCTTCTTGAACAACCCAAACGGCAGGTAGATTTGGCTACTTGAGGTACGGTATTATAGAATCCAGGCAGTGATGAAACATGCAATCATTGGTCTTTGGGATAATTTGGAGCTGTGCTGGATTGGACGGAGTGGAGGGGAGAACTGACATAGATGTCACTTTCTTTGCAAAGCCTAATTAGGGCCTCAGAGCAGTAGGAGGCTATGCTCTGTCTCCCCAGCAGAACCTCTGTGGCATCCCTGACTAACTTGAGGGCTTGCCTGGAAAGTCTGCATAGAAGCCAGATCATAAGTTAGGGGGGACTAGTAAATGCAGCATGCCCAATTTCACGTATCTCACACTGAGGTCTATCGGCCACAACCTCAGCACTATCATCAAAAACAGGAAGCCCCACTGGTTTAAAGAACCGTGATAATACACATCAATGAGGATGTGGGGTTAGGGAAGGGGAGATGCATTCTTGGCCAGGACATTACACAAACCAAAAGTCTTGTTCTAAGTCTTGTTTTGCCAAGTATGACATGCTCAGAAGCAGTGGGAGCCTTCCAGGCTTCCATCTTCTGAACTAAATCTATGAAGTTTCAGACATGAATTTCAGAGTAAATGAGAGTCTGTACCATAACAGCAAGCCTTCCTGATTTGCGGCGAGTACAGCAATCAACCATGGTTACACTAATTCATTGTTACTATTAGTTCAAGAAGTAAAAGGGCTTTATTGTTTCTTGAAATACACTTACATTTTCACTCTCTTTTCTGAGACCAGGTAGTAATGCTATTTAATTGTCACTTTAATTTTGTTTTATTCTCAATATGCTGACTATGAAAGCATTAACAAAAATATTTATAGCCTTTAAAAATTTTTATCTATTATTATAATTATTTACATATTCTAGCATTGCTAAATAAAATCAACAAAAGAATAAAACTTCCATAGAGTGATTCAGGTCTCTTAAAATACCACTAATTATAGAGGCTTACTTAATATCTTAATTATTACTTTTATTTTAATGTCAAGGTACAGCTTCTGTTTCAGTCATATTTATATAAAAGTGATCCAAATTTCAAATTATTAGGCCCTTACTAAAGTAGATAAGAGGCATTAAAAAAACAGAGCATGCATTTATTAGTCTTCTAAATTCATTATAAATAATTAATCACAAATCACAAGGGGTGCATTTCACTGAGTGCTTTTGTATTTTAGCTCTTTGTTCTAACCAAGGACTAGTAACTGAAATGAAAGCATTTTTCAAAGGTAATTTATTATGTTGGATGAGGTTTTAATCTAAATTCTTGCTAAACTCCAGCTGTCATGAAAGACAGACACTTTATACACAAGAATGAACAAGGGCTTGTGAATAATTAGTGAAAGTTTTGGTATAATTACAGTATCAAAAGAAAATGGTACTCGGGGTTCACAATATATTTTCTCACTCACCACTACCACCACATGAAATCTCTGTAGCCCTTCCTGGCTTTCCCTTTATACACAGCTTTCCTGAAAGCTTCAAGAATAATTTTGAATCAGCCAAGCTGGTGACTCCACCACCTATCAGTCAAACCTATTCATTTTATGATATCATTATTTTAAAGCCTAGACATTCATATGTCCTCTGTTGCTAATTAACAATCCTACAATGAACTTGGGCCTTGCACTTGGCTGTCAGTCCCACTTGGGCGATGGATGGGCATGAGCACAAACACAGGTATGTTTTATAAGAGAGAAATGTATTCTCTTTGCAGTCTGGAAAGAAACATGAACATTTTCCAAGCTCAGTGAGCCAATTTTCTCCCTTAAAAGAAAAACATGTTCTAAAAATACTAGGTTCAAAAATGACTAAGGTCTACAAGCTCATAAAGAAGATCAATGCCAGGTGGGAAATCCCAAATCGCAGAGACATCACCGTGCCTTGACTCTGCCTGGTGCGTCATACAAGCAATCCTGAGACTGTGATCATGTTGGACCATTTGGGACACAGAGCTCCACTCTTTTCCTCTATTCTCCTTGCAAACCCCGAACTACAAACTCACTAGACTTGCTTTGGTGTCACTCTAATAAGAGCCATCTGGAAACATTCAACAATCCTGAGCAAAAGGCCAGTGCCCATGGATTAAAGCAATTGCTGACGATCAGGCACAAACTACGTTAAATTTTCAAACAGCGAGTCAGCCAGTCAGGCATTGGAAAACACTATACAAATGTCAAAATCACACACTTTCCTTCCTCTTCTACTCATAATTCTTTTTAAAATCATTATCTTATAACAATGGCCTTATTTCCCCTTAAAATTACCAAGGAAGAAAAGAGTGAGGTTTGTTATGTAACAGAGGCGACCTATCCTAATCTGAGATTAAAATAAGGAGACACGTCTAATCATCAACATGATAAGATCCACTTGCTAGTGTTAGGCAATTCTCCTTTACTGCACACTGCACAAAGACAAAGCTCTCCTGTGAGACCCAGGCTTTCTCTGCAGCTCTCATCTACCATGGTGCAGAATGGCTCAGCACTGACACCAGATGTCCTGAATAGAACCAACTGGAGAGAAACACATTACTCACATACTGTTGAAGAGCTCACGGTATGTTTCATCACCTTTGCCTTCTGACATCAGGCTATCCAATTTGTCAATTAGCTTGGCCTCCACCTGAAACACACCAAAATATTACTCCCTTTCCTCCTACTTCATACATGAGATTTTTAGGCAAATTGGTATGTTATTTCCTTATGCCAGAGGACAAGCTGTAGTATGCTTTGTCAAAGTGACATTGTCAGCCATGGTTAATAGCAAGCCTCCCTTTGGAATTCTAGGGGGCTAATTTAGATGCATTCAAAATGACTTCATACTCCTGGCTGGCTAGCTTTTCCTGCTGCCAAAGACAGCATCTATCTATCTGGGATCCCAACATAAATGCTAGCAGCCTGATTTAAACATTTCATTCTTTTTTTAGGGACTATAAAAACTGGCAAGTCCTATTTCTTTTTTCTTTACATCACCATATCTGAGAACATCAGCAAACTAGCATGCCCACATACATTAATTTAAATCTTTAATGTGTTTTATATCTGTTTTCTCCCTTAAAACAGTTCGGGGTTGCACTAAATCTTTGCTGAAGTTGAGAACTCATCCTCGCCATGTACAGATGGTAGACCTACAGAAATATTCTAAGTCAGCAGTAAGCAGCAGGAGAGAGAAAGGACATATTTCCTGAAAACTGTAGTCAAAACATTTATATCTTCAAGGATGTAAATTCTTTATAGCTTGAATATCAGGAAGGGAAAAATTTCCTTTTATCTATATGAAGCAAAAGAGGAGAGAAAATGAGAACCCTTAGCCAGAGTTAAGGCAATTCAGGCTTGAGATGTCAACTTTGTCAAAGGGCTGAGTCCAATTACTCCTTTAAACCAAATGTCAATCGATGATAAGGATGAGGAGAAGGAAAGTGTACTCCCCTACCAAGCACAGTCTGTTCATAGCTTTTTGCTCACCTATTAGCTTTCTTGAAAATCATTGTACATACGGACAGAAGTGAAATGCCCACACTTTTGGCAACAGGAAAGGTCTATGCATAAAATCAAATTGCTCATACAGTTGACAAGCAGTTCTCTGAGGTCTGAAGACAGCCTCGTGTGGAGAATTCTAATGGAAGGCCACATCCTGCAGGCTTGTGCAGTCACTACCTGAGCGTAGGGTTTTTCTACTTCCCCCAACAGACGTGGACCGCCATAGTGGCTGATGCTTTACAGAGCTAGTTTTCCAATAAGGATGTCTCTCTTCCCCAAACTCGAGCAGCACTATTAGAACCTAGGTCAGCAAGAGACAGCAGCAGGTTCATCCCCTTGGAATTTCCTCTGAGATTTTCCACTGTTTCTTCCTTCAAATTAATTTTCAATGCTCCAAGCTGAGAGCAATAAAGCATACTGTGGATCAAACGTTCAGAGCTAACCCATTCACCAAACACAATGTGAAGACCACAGAGAGCCCAAGGCTTAAAGGATCATTAGCCTTCCCATTCCTCTGAGCCGTGTCCAGCTAGGCGCAAACAACCGTCTGTAAAGTCTCATGTACAGACGTGGTAAGTTGAAGAATTTTTTTTTTTTTTAGCTGAAAGGAATAAAATGGCCTTTCAGGGTTTTCCTGGAGGCTCAGGGGAACAAGGAGCTATGAAGAGTACCCAAGGCTTGGTAGAGGAGAGGTTCTCCTGGTTCTGAGTGCAGCAACCAGTGTTCATTTCTGCACTTAGAGCAGAACGGGGAAAATCTTCTGCTGGGTGACAGTGCCCACCTGTTTGAAGTTGCCACTCCTCCTCTGCTCCCAGTCCATCATGTCGTGGAAAATAGGAATCATGACGTTCCGGAGGTCTGGCTGGGGAATCAAGGTCACCTCCAGAAAGGGCCCAATCAGCGCGGGGATAAAATGAAGTTTGTGTTCTCCTAAAGTAAGCAAAACGTTTTTGAGTGTCAGTACATTTAGTCTTTTTAAGACTTCAAAAAGAGTACTACTACAAAATTTAGTTAAAATTATTACCATAAAATATTCAACTATAGTTATATCCCCATATAAGAAAAGAACCCATAGCATACCAGTAAAATGATAGAAATTGGAATATTCTACTGTACATTCTTGGAAAAAATTTAGATACAGTTCTTAAACATAAGGCTGAAGAATAACACAGTTGAACTTATGCCTCATAACTTAAGTGAATGAAAAACAAGTTGCGGATATATGTGAACATCTTTCACTTATGAATACAGAAGAGGCTGGAGAGATGGCTCAGTAGTGCAGATCACCTGAAAGCCACACAGTGGCTCATAACCTCCTGTACCTGAAGTCCCAAAGGACCTGATGCCTTCTTCTGGCCTTTGTGGGTACCAGGTACACATGAGGTACATACAAACACAAGTAAGTATCACCCCCATAAACAAGAAAAAGTAACCAAATCTGGGCAGTAAAACTGCAAATTATTTTTATATAAGAAAAACTGGCTTCTGTTTATATTTTAAAGAAACATATTTAATGCAGCCTAAACAAAGTATAAAATGCAACCCCCTCAAAGCCTTCAACTGTTTTCCAAAAAGACTAAAACATGGCAGTACTGAATTCCAACTGGTGTGTTACCAAATGCTAAGGGCCATGACAGCCATGACTCAGAGCAAAGGCAGGCAGGGAGCAGGAGGCACACAGGTGACTTCATATATGGGGCAGGCCTACGGTCCATTGGTCTGTTAGATCCCACAGAGAATGTTCCGTGTCGTGGAAATTTCACGCCATGAACAACACGTCAGCTCTCAGTATCATGGTTAAAGGCCTCTGATGCTGAAGGCCCTCCTGGAAGCCCCAGGACAAGTTCAGAGGTTGGGCTGGAAGGAGCTGGCTTCACGGAACACAGCCATTTCCTCCTTAGGTACAAACCATGGAAATATTCTCCAATTATTCTATCCCAGGGTTCTTATTCTTTTATACGCTCAGACCACGAACACTTTCATCATGATGAAACTCCCTCTGTCCCAGAAGTACAGGAGGAATATCACGTCTTATAGCTGAGCATTTTAGCCTATGTTAATATAAGGTGGAGTGTTTCCCATGACACTCCCTTGAAAGAACAGCAGTGTTCAATATCTTCCCTGTGTACCCTGTGACTGACAGGGTCCATACAACCTTTTAGGTCTCTACTTTCTCAGATAAGACAGTATCTCAGCAAAAATACAGCTATGAGTTTTCATTTTTTTACATGAGTATAAACAAAAAAGGAGAGAAAGTTGAAATGAGTACCCCTTTCCAGGATATGTTTTGTCAGATGATGAGTTATGAATTTAGTTTAGAGCTTGGAAATTTGGGGAGTCATAAAACAGTAAAAAGTACTTTATTTTAGTATGGATATGTATTATATATTTGTTTCACTAATTCAATCATTAATAGGAACGCCTTGTACAATTTGAACCATTCTCTGCTTACAAACATAGAACTTGGCAGAGCTGGCTGACATTACTAGTGAGTCTCCTCAGAGGTGCTAGCATCAGGAACCACTGGGCATGGCACAGCTCATGCGACCCAGGGAACCTGAGGAGAGTAGCTTGAACAGATCATTTCACAGGACTGGGAAATGCGCAGCAGCTGCCCTAATATGTAAACAGAAGGTACTCCTGGAAAAAGCATGGGCAGTGTGTCACATTTGGAAGTGTGGCAGAGGTCAGGGAGAACCAGCAATGGTGGCCTGAGTTATGTACCATGTGGGATGGAAAAGCCGATGTGCCTCTTCAGCTGGGTGGGTGGGTGTTTATTACCACTTTATTTAGTCTGAGACATAACTCTCAGGAGAAAAGATGTACTATATTATCCATCCATCCATCCATCCATCCATCCATCCATCCATCCATCCATCTATATCTACCTATTTATCATCTATCCATCTACCTACCTATCTAATCTATCTACCTACCTACCTATATCTAACTAACTAGCTAGCTAACTAACTAACTAACCACCCATCTATCTATCTATGTATCATGGTAGACGTTGGTCCCAAAGCACAAGGCATGGTGACAAGGACAGGAGCCAGATTTGAGGAGCATTCTCCTGGACTAAGTGCAAAGCATGAGTGAGAGTGATTCTGCTGCTAACTGGGATAGAGGAGGAGAAGGGAGCAGTTTCAGATGGAGGAAGGATAATGACTTTTTCTAGAAGCTCTTTTGGGATGTGCTTAATGGCCTAACTACTCCCAGAAGCCAGAGTTAGGGCTCAGGAACCTTGCAGGATTGTCAGTGATAAATAGGGCTTGGCATCATAGAGTGAATGAAATTACTTTGGGAAAGAAACAAAGACACACACACAGATACACACACACACACACACACACACACACACACACACACACACACACACGGGATCCTGAATACAAAGGTATAGGACAAGAGGAGGCACAGCTAAAGAGATGGTGAGATAAATGGACTGATGAGAGAAGAGAAAGCTTTTGGATGTAGAGACGGGCAAGAGACTCACTAGTAATGCCAGCCAGTACTTGCCAGCTCTTGCTCTGGCTGCTTTCCATGCATAATTCCATGAATCAGCCATGGCAGCTCTAGGCAGTAGGAACTGCCACTTCCATACACAGAGGAAACAAAAGTTGTGGGACCTTAAACAACTTACTCCCAAATCACTTAATTACTGCTTAGGGTAGCTAGTGTTTGGAGCCGCCAATCAGGCTTGCTCTAGGTTGAAATAGCTGTCCTAAGGAGGGGACCAACATGGGCCTTTGGGTTTGGAGGATGAGTAATAAGAGGGTAAGCCCAGTCATGAATCAAATGGTAGAAAGGAAAAGCTGAGGAGGCATGGATTGCCAGTCTATTCATTTGAAGTCTAAGCTGTCAGAAGGCAAGGTAAAAACAAAGATAAGACTCACTGAACAATTTAAAAACTTTGAAGAGAGGAACAAGGAACAGTTTTCTTTCCACCAAGAGAGTACTCACACATGTCCTCTAGCCAGCATCCTGTCTTTTCGAATAAGTCTGTCATTCTTCAGAGTCAGGTATAGCTCTGTAGTTATTCCTACTACAGAGTTAGGTATAACTTGTTTCTGGCCTCAGGAACAAGCGAGTACAATCTCAGCCTTGTTCAAATGCTAGCTTCATCTCTGGGACCAACTTGAGGCCATTAGGACTTTTCTAGAAAGGCCTTTAAGAAGCAAATATGTTTCAAGTCTTCAAAAACCATTTCCCTATTGAATGGAGATGGTCCTTCTGAGGCTAAGGTTTAGCACTCAAGAGTGAAGGACAGCTAAGAAACAGTGAACCTGCATATTCTCTCTAAAAAACTCATACCTGAATCTAGGTCTATCAGCAGGCTTCCCAGCTGTATACAAGAGACCCTTCGATCCTTCCTTCCTTCCTTCCTTCCTTCCTTCCTTCCTTCCTTGAACTTGCTCTATAGACCAAGTTGGCCTGAAACTCAGAGCTTTGCCTTCCAAATGCTGAGATTAAAGGCGTGTGCCACCATCCACCTAACCATGTATTTTTTCTTTTAATTTTTATTAATTACACTTTTTTTCACTTTGTATCCCCCCATAAACCCCTCCCTTCTCCCCTCCCAATCCCACCTTCCCTACCCCTTCTCCATGCATGCCCCTTTCAAAGTCCGCTGATAGGGGAGGTCTTCCTCTCCTTCCTTCTGATCCTAGTTTCATCAGGAGTGGCTGCATTGTCTTCCTCTGTGGCCTGGTAAGGCTGCTCCCCCCTCAGGGGGAGGTGATCAAAGAGCAGGCCAATCAGTTCATGTCAGAGGCAGTCCCTGTTCCCATTACTATGGAACCCACTTGGACACTGAACTGCCATGAGCTACATCTGTGCAGGGGTTCTAGGTTATCTCCATGCATGGTACTTGGTTGGAGTATGAGTTTCTGGAAAGACCCCTGTGTTCAAATTTTTTGGTTCTGTTGCTTTCCTTATGGAGCTCCTGTCCTCTCCAGATCTTATTACTTCCCGCTTCTTTCATAAGATTCCATGAACTCTGCCCAACAGTTGGCCATAAGTTTCAGCATCTCATGTATTTCTTAATATAAGATTAATTTGGGAGTTCTGGGCTTTTCTTGGTCAAATGCAATCTGTAGCTATCTGATGCATCAGCTAGAGTATGAAAGTCTGTTTCCTCAAAGACCTCATGAACAATATCTCTCCTGCCCACTAGAGACCAGAATCACAACAGGAGGAGACAAGAAGGCAGTAGCATCTTAAATTCTCTCATTATTTTCACCAGCCTGGATGGTTCCCTATTAGAGGCCACTCCTTTGAACTACATTCTATCTTGGAGTTACTGAGAGGGTGTTGTATCAAGAGCTTTTTCTAACCATAGTAATAGTGTGTTTGAGACTTCTCCTGCCTCAACTATGGCTAGATGTCCTCACCCTCTCATGTTTCTCGAATGTCTTACAGGACGGAGATCCTCATGATCTCTACTGTCAATACACAGACTCCTGGGGCATTTGTCAGGTCCATTCTTTGGTCAGCAAATTGCCCCTTCGTCATAATTGGGAGTCATGTTGATTTTGCCTTGTGTTTAGTTTCATTGCTTAACCAGGGGCAGGAGAGATGGTGCAGCAGTTAGGGACTAGATCCTAGAGAAGATGCAAGCCTAGTTCCAAGCACATACCCAGTGGCTCACAAGCATCCAGAACTCTAGGCCCTACGCTTCTGATGTTGTCTTTTGAACTCAAGCACCAGGCGCACACACGGTACACATACATACATGCAGGCAAAATATTTGTGTGCACAAAATGAAACAAATAAATATAAAACATAAGTGATAAATGCTTTAAAAAGTGTTTGAGACTAGATTGTACCCAGTCCTGGATACAATCCTTATGGAAGTCCCCTTTCATATCACTGAAGTCACAATAGAGCCCCATCCCATTTTATTGAGATGTCATCAATGGTGACTGTTT